GGGAACTTGACGATTTCCTCTCCGGTGTCCTGGAAGTGCGAGACTTCCGTGTGATTCTGTTGGGTTATTGGAAGAAGATTCATAGAAAGCACTTGATCGAGATCTATGAACATGATTCCCGGCGCCAGATCGAGTTGGAAGACAATTGGGTACCCGTAGACGGGTGGGTTCTGGACTTCTTGCGACAAAAAATTGACCCACCCGAAGATCGAGGACCAAAACCAATTCAGGATATAGCCGAACGACTTCGCCCATACTACAGCTGTGTTGATGGTGTTCCTTTCTATGAAACCAATGTCGATGGACTATGCTTAGTGACGTCGCGAATGAAGAGAATCGAAGAGCAGAGGTGAGTTTTCGTTTGGTCACTTACAGGGGAGCTGGTTCCATTCCTGCTCATTTTCTCCAACGTATGTATCGGAACGGAGTCCTTTCATTATGTTTATTAAACCCATCACTTCGTGTTATAAGTCATACTACTACCAGGACCTTCCGCCACAGTTGTAGTTCTAGGTGTGATCCTTGGTAGGTGGCCATCGCGGGATCGCCTGCAACCGGTCGCCTCCTCCATTGGTTGTCCCACCGTCGTGAGTAGTGATCTCGTGGCTGGTCCCGGTCAACCCAGGGTTCCGAAAGCCAGGGGCGCGACGAAGTAATTGACGCTGAGCTCGCTGTACTTCTAAAGTTTGAGAGTCTCCGCTCTGGCGCATGCAAAGCCCGACGACAGGCTTCCGGCGTCGACATATGAATGAGCGTCGGGGGCTTTTCCTCCTTCGAAGGGCACAAGCGTCCTGCCATCGGGTCTCGCCATCGTTGCGGCATCCCTGCTCATTGATTCGCGAACGGATTTCTCTGCGAGATTATCCTGCGAGCTATGCTCTGTCGAGCGGGATCAGGAGTACGCTCTGAAGCTTTCCGCGCGTTCACGGCTCTAAGTTTCTCCGGATGCCATCGGAGCGACCCAGATTCGGAAGAACTCAGCTCAAGCAGTTAGCTAAGTTTCCGCAAACGACAAAGTCTATGGACACAAGTTAGCGTGTGTAAGTCGGACCTTGACGATGCTCAGGCAGAAGCGTGCGTTGCGGATATTATCCGCGGGAATCCGACGTGGAGGTCCACTGACCTCGTGATTCGAGAGGGGCCTCTCCATCCTTGCGGATTCGTGGAAATGAATGGAATTAGATGAACATGCCAGTATCAACCTTCCATTGGTTCTCCGATCGTTCCTAGCTCGAAAAAGATGAGAACAATCGAAAAACCGCAATGACAGATGACGGAAACCGATCCGCGGATGACGGAATCCCGAATAAAAGGTCCTGGAGATAATTTCAGACAATGACCCCGTTTCTTCCAGACCCCTGTTCAGCATCGCCTTCGCTTACGTTGCCGGACATTGCTACCACAGGCAGACCTGGGAACTGAACGATTGTCGGGCAACGTCACGAAGGCAAATACAGAATCTTATATAATACATCCTCTGAATTGAATGTGCGCCTCCGTCGACGATGTCCGACCTCGGATTTGAATGATTTCTTTGATTCCAGTTTTGGCCTCGTGAGTCTCGCTCCGTACTTTGATGAATTTGACTCGTCACGACCCCATCATCCAGATGCGACCTCTCCGTTGATAGCTTTACAAAGAAAGTGTAAGTAAGAAGCACTCGCAGCTGCTACGGTTTCAGCACACCGTGGAGGGAAACCCAATTTACGCTTCCAGACGTCGACAGTGACGATGTGGATTACATGAACGTCTCGCGTTCTCTTCGGCCTGCCTACGTTCAGTTCTCGGTGCCTTTCGATGAACACATATTGAGTACCTTCAGCTATAAAGCTCGATTCCTCCAACAATAGTAAGTACGACCCGGGCACCGCGAGGGGGTCAGGAAAACTCCGATCGAACTGTCGCATTGCAACGAGGCGAATTCTCGAACCTAATCGAATTTCAGTTCTGAGTTAAGGGATTTAGTGGGCTGGATGAAGAAAATGGATGACATCACGAGAGAGCTCCGTTTCGAAGGTGCGAATTATCCGAAGGTCAATCACTGAGGGGATGCATCGGATCGATCGATGCCTGAATTCCCTTCCTATGCGAATTCATTCAAGCTCTATATTTTGACACGCATGTATCTGATCGCAGAACGGATGCTCGGATGGGTCAGGAGTCATCGAGAGACCGCTTCGATCGAGAAGCAAGACTTCCTAGATTATATGAGGGGACAATCTCTGAAGACACCAGTGCTTTACTGTACCGAGACCGATGGAGTGAGAATTCCCCTACTCTCTTACGTTTTTCTGTGCTTCAACAGAGCCTTCGAGCCCGTAAATTGCGACGAAGAAGATGGGTAATTACAGGGCATTTTCCCGCGATTTTTCTCTCCATTCCTCCCTCCTCGCCCCATATCGGTGGTGAGATCGAGTCATGTGAGCCTACGAGATTTCCCTCTATCGCAATTTCCCGCTCGCATTTTCTAGGGGGAATTCCTGCAGCACGCGGTTCGCGTGGCTCGCCCCTGATTAGTTTGTCCCCGTGGGACCGTTCGGGAATCGAATCTCCGAAGAGAGGGAGATACGATCATATATCGGAATACCGAACGAGAAATAAAGATATGGGAGAAGTTATGAACTGAGGCAGTACTTGAATGAGCATTCATCGTCCCCGTGCTCGCGAATGGACCATTCTGAAGAACACATCAGACATCGAAGATTTTGCCATGGAAGAGCCGGGGATCGTTCCGGCTGATTCCGGGGGGCTCGACTCTCGGTCCGGAGGAGGGCTTCCACGAGCTCTCTCCCCATCCTCAACCATTCTTCGTCACGATAGTCGTTCGGCTATTCAAGTGAAGCTGCTGAGACTCCTCGCTCTAGAGAATACCCGGGCGACAAGAACTGCTTCCAATCAAAGGATATCTATCGTAACCTCTAGCGCAGCGTTTCTCAAACTAGGAGGACGCGTATCCCGGGGGAAACGCAGGAGAAGTTCAGGGGAGACGCGGAGGATCCCTAGAATTCCCGACCGACCGATTTTTCTCCTCAGAGAGGTCTCGCAGCTCATTGCTAGTCTACAATCAGTCTTTAATCATTGATCGAGGAAGCCACATCCCATGGAGAAAATAGCACTCTGACATGTTCAGGTCGGAACTAAACATTCTCGGATCTACGGTGATCTCCTTGGGAGACGCGAGCGCCCCTCATAAGGCTTAGGGGAGACGTGGGGGCGAAAAGTTTGAGAACCGCTGCTCCAGCGGATTGACCACGGCTTGTCTGGGTGGCTCAGAAGGTCGCTGTCCTTGTCCGCGAGCCCCTGCCGGACAAAACCGAGGGGTTGACTGATGGAGAGAAATCGATTTATCTAGTTGCGACAGGACCTGCTGCTGAACTTGTTGATGATGGCCGAACGAACTCTATCCGTTGAAGTGCGAAAACCCGACCCGCTCGGTACTGGAGGTGGTTAGGTTCACCTCGTGAGCGGCACCTGGAGACGCAGTCCAGATGATTCAGAAGCTGATGCATGTGGCTGGGTGCATAATGCACTGCGGCCTGAGCTCCAGCTCCGGTGAGAGCGGCGTCGGGTTCCTTGGGTGGATGGTGCCCCCGGCGGCAGCTGAGGATGCCGTCTCGCCTCTCGCTATTCCCTTCCTCGAGCTGTCATGGGAGCTAGACTCGATCGCGGTCGCTATGCCGCTCATTTCCCCATTATCAAATATTCAATTGATTCTTTTATCAAGATAACAACCGACCATCCCCAAATATAATTTCACACCCCCTTTCAAACCCATCCACACGGCAGCAGTAGCTTACCTTTCTTATCGGAGGAATGACAGTGGTGCGCGACGACCCCCGCAACCCGCCATGTGGGCTCCGCGTGATGCTTGTGATTTATGATTGTGTAGAAGTCGACCACCAAGTCATCGGGTCATGTGTAATGCGGAAACTGCATGAATCCCGCGCGAATTCCCGATACGGACGAGTATGCGACAGTCTATGCTAGTAGGGGCTTGAATTGAGTTATCGAGACCTTTCGGGAGGCGCCCTGAGATCCCACAGTCATCTGCTATTATGAATGCGAATACTCCACGCAGTGTCGTCTGCTAGAGGTGTTCGAAAAGGTCGATGAAATTTTTTCGGTGCACACATAGTGGAACTTATCGCGAAAATGAATCTCCTGAGAGGGCGAGAAGTCCGAGGCGCTCACTAGCACATAGTTCCAACTGCGATATTGCCAATGAATGAGGTGAGTCCTGTGATCGCTCGGAGCAGTAGCGCCGCCGGAACTCGTTTCAGGGTCACGGGACGGCTCCAGGATGTTCTCTGGACTCTCTCAGTCAGAAAGGTTACCCCGCGGACGCCTCGATGTGTCTGATCTCTTCCTCCCGATGGAATCGCGCGAAGAGTCGAATGGGTCCGCGCCGGAGCCCTCGGTAGCGAATCCAAACGACGGGATCCCCGGACGGAAAATTCCGCGTGTGGATCCCTGACAGCGGGACTCTTAACAATAGATCTTTCCCATCCGAAGAATCGTAACCCGGAACTCCGAGGTTCCACGTCAGATTGCAAGCCCCAAGGTCAAAGAATCCTTGACGCTTGATTGACGCTCGAACTCTTCTATTCCAGGCAACATGTCGTTGACACCCGTTTCATACATTTTGAAGCGGCATGGGTCTATGGTCTATTTGAAGCGGGTACTGCCGAGGATCGATCATCCTCCACGACATTTCTCTCCTCTGAAATCTATCATTAGGTCATTGAGCGCTGCACCTCTACCAAAGACAGTCAGAGTGAGCGAACAGAACGGAGAAGAGGACGAACATTTGGTCTACGTCGCAAGCCGAGGTTTGCTGCTCACAGATGAACAGCGACAGAGACTGGATGAGAAACAGGTCGGCCTCAACGGGACGGTCCCCCTCTATCATGTCAACTGCATAATACGCTCGAAAATTCAAAACTCCGGAGTCTCACGTTATTTTCCTCCTGTCGCAAGGTTCTGCCCGTTGCTCCACGGGCTTTGGAGCAGCGAGAGAAATTCATCGTTCGAGACTTCAGCATCCAGGAGTCTCTGAAGCACATGGTTTCCCTCAGCAAAATGAGATTGACAAGTGAGTGGAGTTCCGACCGATTTCCAGGCTTCTACGCACGTCATATTCGCGGAGCGAGGCTTGAGGGGGAGAGCGCAAGATTTTTCTACCCATTTCACGGAATCGTCCACAACCGAATCCCCTAAAATGAAAAATTTCTTCACCGTGAATTTATACTTCTGGACGGGACGCGTCGAAAGGAGCGAGTTAGACCCCAGTCACTCTCGAATAGAGTCGTGGTCGATTCAGCGTCGAAGGACCGCCTAGAAAGAGGGTCCTTCTTCTCCTCTCTGTTTAGTTCACGATTTCAGCTTAAGAATTTCTAGGCCGATAGATTTAGTTCGAGCTTGTTAGATCGGGTGTCCTCTTGAAGCATCCTTGAAGGGGAAAAAATCTTGAATGCTCCCTTTGAGTCGAAGGGAAAATGCACCCTAGTCTCTCTGTGCGAGCCGGAACCGGCGAACTTCGCTGAACCGTCTTTTTTTTCAAGGTCTGGTCGTGATCACCACAATGGCTGGCTACGCGATGGCACCGGGAAGTTTCTCGCTCCTCACGCTGAGCCTAGCTTCCGTGGGGACCGCATTGACATCATGCTCTGCTAACGCAGTCAATCAGTTCCTCGAAATTCCTTATGATTCGCAAATGAACAGAACCAAGAATCGAGTCTTGGTTCGAGGCTACATGAGGTGAGTTCACCGAGTACTCCTCCCAGCGTAGGTGCACCAGCTCAATCGGATGGCCCATCGTCCTCGGGGTCTGATGCATTGATTTCTTCTTCATCTGCCGATATCGCCTGCTGAACATCGGATTCTCCTCGGAATCCGTTACACATTGTGGCTTTGATTGTCAAGATATCGGCGCGGCAGGTCGCATTCCGCGTTCACCGGGTTCTCTCAGATGCCGGGCAAGCGTGTGCAAGTAAAAAGAGAGCGCGAATTCCCGGTTCGAATTGAGTACGATAAATCTGGCCCTTCCCCCGACTTTCGACGTAAAGATTTCCCGTTTCACCCCCACCCGACGGTCCACCCGCTGGCGCTGCTTTTGCAGCCCATCTGGGCATCGTTTGAGGCACGAGTAGTGATGTCAGCCTCATTCCAAGATTGAAATCACCACCCATTTGTGCACTTGGGAGGAATTGGGCCTAAACTCGGAGTTGTCGACCACCGAATTCCTTGAAGCGATCCCTCGCTAATTTCTCAGACCATGGACATGGTTGACTCTGCCACGTCATCATAGAGAGCGGAACTTCACTTTCGGAAGCCTCTCCCCTGAAACAGCGATATTTCGAGCTCAACCGATTTCTTCTGAGCATTCGAGGTACGGAGTGCATCGAACATTATCAGATGGCAGGGGATTCCGTCGCCGATACATTTGTTATTCACGAGGCGAGCGTTTTTCTTTGTTTGCCATGATGACGGACGCCGCTGGAGAGGCATAGACAAGCGGACACGCACGCACGCAAGCGAATGGGCAGACAGGTGTCTGGAAATGTGTGGCTTGTTCGTACGGGTGAGAGTCGGCGGCTTTTGAGACGAAAATGAAGAAGACGGAGCCGGTGCGGTCGCGCGAATGAGGTTCTTGCCAAAAGCGAGGAAGACTCGCTTGAATGAACAGCGCCCGAAGTGTTCGAATATTCAACTCTATCCGCAAAGCAGAGCATCCGGAGTCGGAGTTGCTGCTCTCCATTCGCTGAGCGCAATGTCATGCGGTATCCTCGGTAGACTCGACCTACTCGCAACCTCAGGTCGACGCTTTCGAATCCTTTTATCCTCATCGGTCTTGAAATATTTCTCGGACGATGATCCGTATCCGTATCTGATATCTCGGATACACACGGGTGCCTAAGGGCGGGTATCCGTATAATTTCTCTCGGTCAGGTCCCCTCGATACAGTTTCATCTCCCTTGTGTTGGGCTGTGGGTACGGCGTCTGTTGGGAAGCGTAAAGCAGTCGGAGTCGTTGTTCTTTTCCGTAATTATGACCGAAAGAATGATCTTTCTCTGTTATCATCAGCCAAGTGATGGTGATGGAGATGCTACGGAACGAAGAAGCTGAAATCGTCGGTCGTTAGAAGAACATGCAGATGCGAATAGAAGCCACGATACGACTAAATCCCCGTCACCGCACGAAGCGATCATCTGTCAGGAGCCGCCTGTCAAACTCCTCATGCATTTTCCATCAAGAGCGAATGTCGAATCTACAGAGCAAATCCCCCATGCGGACATCGTCCTGGAACGACTGGCTCTCGAATTCGTCTCGACCGTGATAGAATCGGCTTGAGTTTTCTTCTGTCCCGACCAGTTCTCACATGGTACTCGCCATCATCGGTCTTGACTTCTGGAACACTCGATGACAGGCGATCTATCGGATGCCGCAGCCTTCCACAGACCGCGATTCTCCGTCGGGGCGGAATCATGCGTCTTGCGTCAATGAAAGTCCCAGAGACCGTGGCGGCGACGGCTTTATGACTTTATGAATCAGTGCCTTTTCCCCATTGTCTGGCTCGACTGACTGAGTGGAGCTGTCGTTAACGTCCCTCCAGTTTATGAAGTGTACCTCCATAATAGATCGACGTCGACGTCGCTGTTTCGGATCCTCGATCTGATCCAAATTCTCCAGAACGGGAGCTCGATGGGCTTCAATTCAAAAGAATTCAGAGAGGGAGTCGTCATAATTCATTTCTGGAGAACTTCTCTTGTGGTCCGCGCCGTTCCTCATGGAGGTTCTCAAAATTTCTTCGCGGAAAGTTTGCTAAGCTTCCCGTGTAAATTCCATTCGATTCCATTCGGGTGACTACGCACACAGCAAATAACCGATTGATTGACTGTCTGATGCATTGATTGACTGAGTGATCGCCAGTCGACATTGTGGATTTGCGCTGGCCATCCGAATCGGCCGCGCCACGACCGCAGCGAAGTACCGGCCGACCGATCGGGCGACTGGCGACAGCCATTTGATAGAGTCTTGACAAAGTGTCGGGCGTAGTAATTTCTATGGCATTGGAGATGTTCCCCTGTTCATATTCAGCTCGGAAGGGTTCAGTAAACTTTTTGGCGAGACTCCAACTGAGTGTGTGTGTGTGTTTCTGTCAGCCGTGCGCAACTGCGAGGGCTGTCTAACGCAGTGCCGACTTATAATGAAGCACCTCGGCCGATGGATACGCCCTCGGTTTGTGGCGCACGATCGCATATTCCGTGTCAGGGCTTGTTTTGCCAAAATTGTTTACCTTGTATTGTCTCCGAAATAATTTTTCCTCCGTGATGATGATACGCATAAATGATATCGCGTCCTCCGTGGACTTCTCCTCGCTGTAGGAGCTAAAGGGCTCCTGCTCCTGCGATCCGCTTCCAGTGGATCTGAGATGGAATCCGCGAATCGGAAATTCCGTCCATTCTCTCGTAGAGCCGTATGTGGAATTATCCATCTGTGTGCAGTCGCATGGACGCTGACTGCCGAGCCGGTGATTTTCGGTGAGGGGGAAAATCTATACAGAAATTAATTCTCGATTTGCGGTGAAGTGCGATCGACTCTCTCTGATTAAGAGCTGGACAATCAGATGATTGATATAGGGGCTCTCTATTCAATGGGTCGTAGTTCTCTGTGATGATGCTGTTCGCGCATGGACGATGCTGACGACGGCCCGCGTCGACGACGACGATCGTGAAGGGTTGAGCACCCGTCCGGTTTGCCCTGGTGTAGCGAGCAATTCCATGCGAGTGAGGGCTCGGACAGTGATCACCTGAGAAGAGTTGAGCACCTCATCATTTCCACAAGCACATCTCTCGGTTCGGGATGTTCTCAAGGTTCTCTTCTAGCCGAGGAGCGCTCCTTTTTCTTCTCGCTCGCTCGGTCAACGAAGCAGGAGCCGCCTGGAAGGCGAAGCTTTGTTCGTGGAAGACAAAAAAAACGACGCTCCGCTCGTCAACCAACGCCGCCGCTGCGGCTGTCGTCCAAGAGAAGGGAACTCTTGCAGGCAAATAGGAAACCGATAAAATTCCGCGGAAAGAACCGAATGGTCCTCAATCGAAAGCGTGCACAGTGCTCGTCCGATTTCATTCATCCCGAGGGCTCTCGCACTGTTTCAATTTTTTATTCGGGTGCGCCGAGCCCTGTGATCCTCGGTTTCTGTCTTGGAATTATTTTTCTTCCCGTGCCTCCGATAAAATGTCTTGCTTCTAAATGGAGGGGCTCTCGAGAAGAGGGAGACTCGCGTTTTTTGGTGATCAGCCGAGTCATGAATAAGCACGGGGACTGGCCTGAATAAGCCTTGGACCGCCGGAGATGCGACTCGCTCCTGGGAAGTCCGAAAACGTCAGAACTTCCCTTTTCTGTGATAAAGAGTAAAGTGGCAATTTAGAGTCAGTTCCCTTCTTGTGTATCAGAAGACGTGCGCAAAGCTTTGAGCGCTTCAGAGAGCTTTCCCGGTGCTCGGTATGATTTGCCGGTAGCCATCGCGGCGTTTTAATTCCAACTGCAGAGCTCTCCGATTCCACCGTGGACCCTGTAAATCATCCGATATCCTGAGAGGCTCATAATAACTGCATAAATGAGCGTGGAGTTCGGTTCCAACGGGTAAATACCCAGCTATGGGGAAAAAAATACTGCTCATTTCACCTCATCTCTAAAGAACCTGGTAGGAGAAAAGGTGTCACTTTCTTCTTCAGGGAGACAGTAACTCCAAGCCCCTGCTCGTTTTCAATTCGATGGCTCCGTTTGGCTCTTGGTCCCGTCGATCAAGCCCTCAGTCCTACACCGATTGACCGGAATTAGTTCCATATCCAAAAATCTCAGCAGCCTCCTACAGCGGGAAGGATGCAAGCGGTAAATGCGAAGTGTCATTTCCCATCTTCCCCGAGGAGAGAATAAATCTCCAGAGGCTCCGGGAAAATTTTCTGGTTGAATAGTTGTGGTCTGGAAAACTCCAGCGAGCCATTCGTCGTTGAATTTATGCATTTGTATGGTTCATACCTCGAGTGCATTGACCTGTTGCGTAACCTTCACCTCGGCTTTTGGCGGCTTTTTCGGTTGTTTAACGTGCGGAGCAGCAGAGGGCTTCGGTCAAGCTCCGAGCCAGCAAGTATCCTCTGCCGCGGACCAATGAGCAACGCGAGAAGGGAATTTATTGAACCCGTTTCGGTTAGGTGATTCGACGTTGTGTACATTCTAGCTTAGAGCCGGCTCGGAGCGGTCGTTCAGGACTGGTTTTCCGACTAACCGTTGGAAGAGCGACGATGACTAAATGCAACGAGCGGGCACGGTAGAGCTCAGAAACGTATAGCGACCGAGACCCGGCGGGGATGGAGACGACCAACCGACGGCCTTACTGCAGCCAGCTCGATCGATGAAATCATCAATGTAGGTATTCAGTGAGATGAAATTTGTGAACTGAGATCCGGATTGAAGGCCGGAGTCGGACTTGGAGAATAGACAAGACTGACGCGACGTCTGCCCGCTCACTCGGTGGCTCCGAGAGCCACAACTTGTGACAGGCAGGGATTTGATTGAAGCGCTAGACACTTGTTCGCTCTGGAACATCGCCAGCCGTCCGACCGGCAGAGGCTGATTTTGATACAATAGGACGCAGCCACAGAGGCAAGACTTCACCAACAACAACGAGAGTCGTGGCAGTGGCAGAAACAGCAACAACGATTCTCCGCTCCGGCGGCCAGCTCGAGCGTGACATGGAAAGACCGTGGAAAGTCAGCCTGTAATTCACAATTCGACTTTGTATCACAATCGAATGCCATTCGGCACTTCGCGCATTCGCAAACTTCTATCGATCCTCCTCTGTGTGCAGAAGAAAAAGCTGCGAAAAAATCATCATTCATTCCCCAGACGTCACTTAAGACGTCGGGTGTACTCTCGTTCTTGCTTGGAGTCCGGGCCGGGGTTCTTCTCGCTCCCGCCAGAAAAATGTTACAATTCGCGGCAATTCTTTGGCGGAAGCCCGAAGCGTTGGAAGAGACGGGTAGTTCCAATTCCTACGAACCGAATCTGATTTTTTCCTTCGTTTCAGCCCCCTCGGAGCGCTTTCCTTCGCGGCCGTGGCAGGAGTCGTGGGCGTATCGACGCTATACGCTGGTTGCGGGGCGTGGACAGCCGGTCTCGGAGCTGCCAACCTCGTGCTCTACACTTCGGTGTACACCCCCATGAAGCGGTTTCACATTGCGAATACGTGGGTGGGGAGTGTGGTAGGAGCGATCCCGCCTGTGATGGGCTGGACGGCCGCCACCGGAACTCTGGACCCAGGTACGTGAAAGAGTAAATCTCCTACATATCCGGGCTCTGCTGAAGAGGGTAGAACGATGACAGAGGTTTCGGACGTCGTTCCCGATCGAGAGTGAATTCCGACGTGAGTCCGGCTAAATTCGCGGCGAATTTCAACGCTCATTCGGGCAGATCGGGATCCTGGGATGGAATTATGGAATCATGGAGCTGTCATTGGATATCACGAGCAGTGTTTCCAGTTATTCCGAATGGGTCGGGACTCGCCGCGATCAAATTCCCGATTCAGAAACGTTCGAGATAGCGAAATAAAATGGGAGATCTTCCCGAACACGTCATAGAAGCAGGCGCCGGGTAGGAAAGTAGTAGAAAATTGCGGTCTGTAATCACAAAATCCGCTGCGAGACCCTGTTCGGGAATCGTCTGGAGAACTCCCGGACCGATGCTTGGCGCGTGCGAAAATGGAATAGCGGCGAGCGAAGGAGAAACCGACAGGTTCCAATGACTGATTGATGGACGCGTCGGCTCCCTCTATGCAGCAATACCTTTCCATATCGAGAGATGTCGGAGTGGATGAGAAGAGAGCTAAACTGATGTAGACGGCTGGCAGGTTATTGGCTGTCTCTCCGGATCGCCCGTCCGAGCGTAAATACTCGATTCCCCGTGTTTCTGTTTCTTCTCTCGTTCGTCTTTCCGAAATGATTGCTGCGCGTCAAACATCATTCGGTTCATCGGTGATTTGATGTCCGTCTTGCTGAATTTCCTCGTCGAAGCCCCTCCGTGGAAAGTGTTTTCGTACGAGACGCCTCCTCGCCTTGAATTGGGAAATATCTCCACGGGAAACGATAGGATTACCGGGGAAAGGAAAACGAGTCGGATGAAAGTCGGACTCCTTCCGCGAACGGAGCGCTCGACTACGACGGGGAAATCACAAGCCAGAGCCGCAATCTTGGGTTTCCATCTTTTTTTCACGCGACACGAAGCCCGCATCGAACGTTGCAGTGAAGCGATCAGAATCAATCAGAGAGTCATTCGATCTGATCACAAAGACCGATTGGAGCGGTGACTTTCGTCCACGTAATCAACTTAATCTCGGTGATCAGGGGCGGCGGCGCGGTGATCGGTGATCGATGTCAACCGAGTCGAGCGGTCTGATCGGTCTCCGTCGGAAAGCCTCCTTTTGAAAAGCGAATCTTTTGTTAGTCCCTTATTGAATTCGGAATATTCCTATCGGCCCGCGCGTTCTTTCCGTGGGGATTCATATCGGAATCTTCCACGTTCCATGATCACATGAGACATGAATTAAATCTGGGGAAATTCCTCATATTTCTCATGACCACCGCCTAGGAGCATTTGAGGGGGGGAGGGGGTTTGCCCCTCCAAGCTCTTTTCGGAGTCTGAAAGACGCTTCCCGCGATCGTAGGGAGAGATCGGAGCGTCAACGGGTCCGTGGCTGGAATCGTGAGTCACTCGAAAGCGTTTTTTTTTCGCGAGACATTCTGGTTTTCCTCGTTTCTGGTCGCCGCGCTCGCTGTTGCTATCATCGGCATCGAGCCTGCTGCCGCTGGAAGTGGAAGGAGGCAAAACGGTCTCTTTCCACTCACAAGAAACACTTGCCCATTCGACTAATGGCGCTGCTAGTTAACAAGCGAGGGCGATCTTTCGCAGTTTGGCGTTTTGCGTCAGTTGTGCAGTTGTGCGTGCATTTTTCCGTATTGCTCTACGGATATGACGTGCTGTTGGACTCGTGTGAGCGGACATGCCCGCAACAGAAATGACTTGTCGGCTCGTGCGCTCATCTTCATAGGAGATTGCTGGTTTGGCAGTGAGGTTAGCTGGTTGATCGAATACACAACCGGCGATCTTAGCTGCCTGGTTGGCGATCTCGCACTTCACCATCTCGATGATTCGACTCCCCATGTGCTCGTCGGTAGCGGTGATCTAATCTGCCCAATCCCTCCCCCGCTGATGTTCTGGGGAGGTAGGTAGTGGGAATCGTGCAGGAAGAGCATCTGTTGGATCCCGGGGATCTGGAAGGGAGACGAGGGCTCGAACCCCAGTCCAGGATTGCCTCCTTTCATCATCGATATTTCCACCCTGTCGTGTTCATCGTTCTCCTTCCCTAGAGTCTGAAAATTTTCGCTCGCTCTCATGTCAGACAATGACCGTCGGTCTGAATATTGTATGCGAAGCTGGACGTTTCCCGAGGGAGAGCAAATACTGTCATCAACGACTCATGTCAAGGGAGCGTTTCTGCTGCTACTCTGCTGCCCAATCTGTTTAGCTGTCAGGAATTCCGATCGAACAAACTTGCGGGCTTAAGGTTTCGTGGTAGGGGTGATCGGCCAGGGTTCTAACTTGCGAGTCTGGGGAATCTCCTCGCTCGATTGGGATTACGCGTCACAGCATTTTTGAAGAATGAAGTCTCTGACGCCAAAATGTTCAGAACTTTTGCGGCGAAAATGTTTTCCGATCGATTCTGTCTACTTTGGGAACGAATGACTGCATGCAAAGCGATGACGTCATGCAGTGCAAGGGTTCAACGCCTACGAACTTCGGGCTGTTCGAACAGCGCATGTTTGTCACGTCGTAGGACCAAGGAATCCCAGGGAGAAAACGCGCTCCGAGAAATATTTGAATTATATGTATGTCCGGGAGACGATTCACACCACCCCAATCAGTGATGTGCGGGAAAATCAATGGGGTTATCCAGGGCCCGGAGCCTTCCGTAGAGTCGGTGGAAGGCTAGAAGGTTCGACAATGTAGGGAAATCGGGACAGAATGTACGATATTTTTGCTTAATCTAAAAGCTAAACCTCCAAGTTGAGGCGGGTCGGAGAAAATTCTAGTCTGAGCCTGCGAACAACAGCCAGGACAGAGTCGACCGCCAGCGACATCCCAGAATGCTTGAGCGACGTCATTTACCCTGATAGTTGCGTGCGGAAGCTGCAATTATGAGCGACCACGAAATCTATAGAATCGTTCCAGGCCAGCGAGAGAAAAAGGGTTTCGGGTCCGCTCTTTTATTGCATGACCGATCGAAGCTCGTTCGTGTGAGTTTACGGCGAGATTCGTCTTCTTCGCGCCGCCGTCGCTGGCAGACGCTCGTACGGAGGAAAAGCGATCGTTTGGCAAAGCGATTGCGCATCGTTTTGTATGAACGCTCAGTAATTTTGACGATGCTTGAGATTCATTGGCCCTTCGTGACTCACGATATTCCCCGTTTACTGATGCTCGTCGCTGAATATGCACCGAGCGACTCGGGAAATCGTCAGACTCCGGTTTCAGCGTATCCGAATAGAGTTTCCTCTTATTTTCTTTCCTTCGCGCAGGCGCACTCCTGTTGGGAGCGGTTTTGTACTCATGGCAGTTTCCTCACTTCAACGCCCTATCGTGGAACTTGAGACCCGATTACTCGAGAGCAGGCTACAGAATGATGTCGGTCACAAATCCAGATCTGTGTCGGAGAGTCGCCTTGAGACACAGCGTTGGCATCACCGGTAAGTTCGTGTTACGTGTAGGAGATTGATCTAATACAATCATTCCTTCCTCGTCCCACGGAAAACCGTTCCTCTTCAGCTTCGGAATCCTAATTCATAACACAAAAACATTCCGAAAGAGGGACAGGGGCTTGCGAAATCCTGTAAACATATTTACTAATACGTAAGGTTTCGTCGAGCATAAGGGCAGAATAAGCGCGACTCTGTGATTGCAATCGATCACGGAAGTTGTGTGATAACTGATTGAGTGTCGATGGAAAACTGGTTCTGATGTAATGTTCGCTGGGAACGAGTAGGTGTTCCTCTATCGATGCAAGCCTTTCGTAACCCGAGTCACTCTTGTTTTACAGCACTCTGCCTGGCATCTCCGCTGTCAGACGTGGTCACGTGGACTTTCGCCGCAACTACACTGCCGCTGAACGCCTACCTGGTCTATTGCTCCTACCAGTTTTACAGAAACGCTGACAGCCAGACCTCTCGTAAACTGTTCCGGCTAAGCCTTATTCATCTGCCGCTCCTTGTGATCCTGATGATTCTGAGCAAAGACACAACCAAGACAAAACGAGAATCACTGCCATCGAACGTTTGAGCTTGGTTCCCCTCAGAGCGGCGATCAACGGGGCCGAAGATCTATTGGGATGCTGTCGATCAGCACTTCACGTCAGGGGAACGCGGACCGCACTAGTGAGCGTGAATGCTTCCGGAACGGCCTCCGAAGCACTTCAGTACAAAAGTGACAATTCCTCGCGCGCTTTCGCCGCGCCGGGACCGGCCATAGACTCGGACGGGTCTCTGAGACGCTACATATGTGATTAGGATTTATTTAATGAATAAAATAAAGAAAAAAATCATATCCAGGTTTCGTTCGCGACGTTGCTCCGCATGGTAGCTCCGTAAATCTGACTGAATCTAGGAGCGTTGCCGAAATTCGACGCCGTGTCCAGAGCCTGGTGGGCCTCGATTGAGCTGGTTTCTATGGGAGGGCGTATCTCGAGGGTAGATATATTCTCGTCAAGGAAAGAGATTCGCCTCGTCCTTTCGAAGTTTCTCAATCGTGTGGTAGTTTGGCGGACTGTTTATCGTTCGGCCACTCCCCGACTCAGATTCGTGGAGGTTCCGGTATCTGTTTCGATGCAGGAAACAAGATGGACAAATAAAACGGAAGGCGTACACCATCAGAGCAGGATAACTATCGCACATCTATGAGGAGTCTTCCCACCTTCCGCTGATTAGTTTTTGCGGAATGAATACAAACTCTACGATCGGATTTCCAGAAATCCCCTGCTGGAAGAGATCATCCGTACACGTCCCCTCTTCAATTACTCATCCTCATTTATTAATGTTTATTATCGGTTTTTGCGGCCTCGTAACACGGAGCCACCGGTTCTAGAATCGTATTCAATGGTCTTTCCCGTTCTGTCACGAAATGTCGCATGTAATTCAAAATTCTTATATTTATACAGGTTTATACAATTCATTAACGTTCGCTAACTCATAATCAACAATGATCCACGGCTTCAAGAGCAACAAGTGGTCCGAGGTTGTGTAACATCCCGGATTACGAATTCTCGAGTCAGGTTCCCTTCTGAATGACGATACTCCCAATACACGATCCTACGAAAGCTGTTGTCTCCACTTGCCAGTGGAGGTCATGCCTAGTTTCTCCTCCTGCGAAGGCCCTCCGACCCAACGAGCGATTAGCTCGGAGAGCTTAATCTCGCTCGCTACGAAGCTTCGTGTCAACCTCCTTCTACACGAAGGAAAAAAATTCTAATGATCGTCTTCAGGCGCGAAACGCTCTTGGGTGCTAGAAGATATGGTCACGGAAGATATGTCTGGAGAACCCTGAGCGCTTTTTTCCCGACTTGACGTCTGCTCCGTCGAGGCTGCGCGGCCTCCTACAGCGCCTTCCTTCTCTTCCGTGCCCTGGTCGGCTTCGGCCATGTCCTCGCCACCTTCGGCATCCCCCTCACTTGCACCATCGGCGTCCTCAGGTTGATCGTTCCCGGCTGTCGAGCGATCGGAGATTCCCGACACAGCAGCCCCTGTAAAAAAAAAACACGTAACTCCGTGTTTCTGTGACAGAAACCCTGTAAAACTCGCTGCTAAGAACTATATGTAGAACCAATAATAATTCTCGTCATGCTCGGCCACCGCTGATTGGGCACGCAATTGGTCCAGGGAAAACAGCTGGAGCATAACTCACCGAAAGTTCGCTCAGAGGTGTTGAAGTTACTTTTGGGAACCACGGCCAGTTCCTTCTGCAGGACACTGGTCAGATTCTCCATGATGTGGGCGGGGTTCACGGGTCGGGCGAGGAATTGTCCCAACATGGGTTGCAGCACCCGTAAAATGTGTTTGTGCGAAACGCCGGCGGGAGTCAGCTGGTCCAGCAGGCATCGACATGTTGTGATCAGGATATCGGGCGTACAGAGTTCACCTTCTTTCGAGGCCAGGAATGCCGTCGCGGCGTCCAGAGCCGGCTGCATCTCCAACCTCTCGCGACAAAGTTGATGCGGCGGGGCCTTCTGTCGATGGGCCAGTGTTAGTGAATAGTAGCAAGAGATGTCGAGGAATTCTATAAAGAGGAGAACTCTCTTCCTCTAAGTCACCAAGAAACTAAGTTAACCTACGTTCTCTTCCTCTCGGTTCAGTTCTGGATTGCTGGAGTACCGGCAGAAATTCATCTGGTTCATGGAATTCATCGAGTTCTTGTTGGGCTTCCGTCTCTGGCGCTCTTCGTCTCGGTTCAGATCATTGCGCTCACCGCTCTGCGGTGTCTGCGGGACCCTCCTCTCGACCGGTTGGCTCAACAAATTCAGCGTGGAGAAACTCTTGAGATTATCGACGTAGTTGTTGGCCCTCACTCCCGGAGTCACCTGATTGTTGAGAGGTCTGACACCACGTTCAGGAGGAGCGGTGTCCTGCGCTTGCGGTCGGAGCAGCCCTGTGAATTTCGGGAAACGATTGAGATATCCGTAAGCCGCCGACCATGAGTGGCTATCGTCCCCCTGTCGTCCCCGTGGTCGAAAACTCACCTCGCAATTTATCCATCTCCTTCTGTTGTCCATTGATGACTTCATTCGCTTGCACCAGACTCAGCGTGAGCATCTGCACGTACGCAGCTAAATGAGCACAACTGTCACACGAGCTCCCCGCGTGGGAGGCAGCACCTGCGGGCTCCTCCCGAACTTTGGGTCTCGCCCCCGTTTGGACCGGGTTGAACGCAGCGAGCCGTTCTATCTCCGAATCCGTGCAGTCGGATTGCACTTCACCGTTGTCCGAATTTTCCTGGGTGCTCGAGCCGCCCCAAGTCGCGGCCTCGGTCAAACTCCGAGGTTGGGAGCCTCTAAACGGTACTTCGAGCAGCGGATAATTGTCCCAGGGCTGGACATTGCACGAGTTGAAGCGCGGTCTCGCGCCTGACCGCAAGGGGTTCTCCGTCACAGAAAGGTTCCGTTTAGGCCCAACGACTTCGCGATGAATCAGAGTTTCTATATCGTGCAGACTCCGATTGATTTCGCGCAGCTGTTGGCGGCGTTTCTGTTGCCCCGGGTTCATCGGTGGGTAGACTGGGACGGGTCTGGGCGTGAATTTCGAAGGCGTTGGATTTCCCCGACCCTCAAGTTTGGTGATCATTCCCCGGAGAGCATCGATCTGCTGCTTGGTCTCGGCGAGAGTTCGGACTTTCTCCTCAATATCGGACTGTTCTGGAGTTTCGGGGAAATCGAAACTCATCGTTTCCGAGTTGTAAGGGGCGCTCATCGGAGCCCCGTTGGGTATCATCCTCCTCACAAAACGCGGGTTCGATCTTGGAGAGAAAAGAAGTCTGAGACCGGCTGATCGACACGAAAGCCATGGCCGTTTCCAAGGGGGAAAATACCGCGGGAAGATGCCCGGAGGAAAATCGAATACGACTTGACCTACATATCACTTACTGTATTGTCATTTTGTTGTCGTCGGACACGGGCGCGTCTCCTTCGGGGTCTCCTCGCTCGAAAACGTCTTCCTCCATCTCATAGGGAGTCAATTCCCTCTGAGTGACTCTGGCTCCTTCGAGCGCGTCCTGCAGTCTTCTATATTCTTCAGCCGTCTGCTCCACTTGAGCTTTGAGACGCTCGACGAGAGCGTTCGCGTCTTGGGACACTCTGATCGAAGCGTTGACCTCACGACTGCTCGCGGACGCAATCTTCATCGGCTCTCGCGCAGCTGCGGTTTGCTGTTGGTACTGCTGCTCGAGCACGGACAGCTGTGGGGAAAAGACGAGCTACAATCACGGAGAGCTCTCCAAGCGAGGAATACCCTGGCGTGGTCTCGAGATGTACGAACTCCCCGTCCAGACTTTCGAAGATGTCCAAGGGAGGCATTTTTCCCCACGAGGGGCTCTTGAAGTGAGTCAGCGAACGGGAGAAGATCCATACGAGATCGAGACTCACCTGCGACTTGCTGTCAGCTATCTGCTTCAAGAGCGTCTGCTGATTTCTGAGAAGAATTTCCATTTCCGGCGATAAGGCGCTGGAACTCGACGCTAGACTTTGAGTTGAGAGCGAAAGGCCCAACGGACCGCCGTCTAAAATCGAGTTGAGCTCATCGACGCGGTTCTGCGGGTCCAGCTGGAACATACCGAGCATTGAAAACTTCCGATCTTGACGATGCTTCGGAGCGAGAGGAGATATCACTTTATATAGACGAATGTCGATTAGTCGAGGAGAACTCACGCGTGTGTTGTCGAGAACTCGCATCACGGAGTTCATCTCACGCAGACAGTCTTGCAGATCCATCCTCAAAGGCCTCTGCATTTGGGTTCTGTGGGAATTCGTATTTTTCGTGGAAGATGCAGCTGATGAAGTCGAGTACACATCGGGCGAGCGTCTCTCACAGTTCGAGTCTCGGCGCTTCGGATTCATATCTGTGAAAAGAATATGTCCGACTTGAAAAGAGCCTCCCGCATTCACATATTCGAAATGCCAGACACCATAGACTGTGGAAAATTTTCCGAGCGCTCTCATTCACATCTCGAACGGATGAAGGTCATGATCACATGGAGCTCTCAGACCCTGTTCGTCAGTGCTGCTTTCCGTGGCCAGCGGACCTGTTCCGTAGGAATGACTTCTACCGCGGACGAGATCCCGAGTCCGCATCTTGGGAAAGTGTCCAGAAGACTTAGGCGGGAGGAATCCGATATCACGGAAATTCGGGAGTTACCTTCAAAGCGATTCTATTCCCTCAAGCTCTTCCGTTGCCGCTCAGGTGAGCTCGGAGGGGCCTCCGTCGCAGTTTCCCCCCGAGAGGAAACGTCGAACACGCTCTCGAGCTAGCCACTATCACCTGTCACACACAGTTACCGCGGAGCAACTGTCAAAATGATCTTCCGTCTTATCTCAAGCGAGGAGGCGAAATCATAGCCGGCATGCGAAACTTTAGGCAGAAGAGCAGAATGACGCAAGTGACGCTACCGCAGACGCCTCACGGTTGTCGTCGTGGAGTGAGCGGCTCACTCATATTCGAACAGAAAACAGACGACGCCGCCGTCGAAAAGGTAGCTGTCTGACCACCCTCGGAGCACTTCTACGTGACGTTCCCCATCCGTCGGGAGCTTGTCGCGAGTTTTCCACCTACCGGGAGCGATCCGAGAACATCTGCTGACGAATTCCGACACTCGATCCCCGTCCAAGTCGGTCTCAATGAGCAAATTCTCAAGGAGCCCAACTCTCCCTGAAGAGGTAGAGAAAGACAGGACTCCGCCGCTGCCGATCAGAAAGCCGAATTATAGCCCAGACACAACAGGATCACCTGGCCCGTGTCTGGGTCCGGGGAGGCGCCAAAATTTGAGATATGAATTCTCTCGAATTAGCCCCGTCTAGCAGCGTCTCACGTTTTATCGGGTCGATTAAATAAGATCCGGGCGCTAAACTCTTTCATAGACAAGGAGAGTAGTCCCGAGGGCTGATAGTCTCAAGCCTCCTCCTCCTCCTTTGAACTGAGGATTCTCACCATATCCTACGAAAGCGAATTAACGGCTACGATCGCCTGGAATTCCGCTTGCATCCTCCTCGAAGATGGGAAGCGTTTCGAAAGTCGCGATAATCCGAACGTTTCCGGCCGAGATTTGTTTTAGCGATCGTTTCGAATCATACGGTGGAGATCAAACGCTGAAGGCATGTCGGCAGATTACCTTAAGTAAGTAAGGCTCTTCGGAGAAAGAAATCAACAGCATGTGCCCGGTTGGTCATTGCGAAGTCGGCTCGAGCTTTCGCGATGGTCACTTCCTCGGCGAATTCCCGAGGGAGTCTGTGGGCACCGCTTTCTGAGGTTTGGATCCCTACTCACTATTTTCGCTGGAATCATCGTCCGGAGCATCCTTCGGAACTTCCCCGTTCTCCATGTCGACCGAGCAAACTGGCGGACCGCGCTTATGGTGTTCTCGGACCCGGAGGCCCCGATCAACTCTCGGGGAGAGCTGGAAGACCGGCTCTGCACCCACTCCGAGTGACGCACAAGAGGAAGCTCGTTCGGGCCATGCAGGCTCTCTCCTATCTCGATTTCGTCAATGGCTTACGACTTATCAACGATAGAGACATGCAATCCAAAAATGCGTGTGAGAGTTCCCAGATCGACTGAAAACAAAATATTGAAGCGAGGAGGGTGAATTGAAGTCGATATTTCTCTGCCCATTGCTCAAAATGATGGATACGCTCGATGTAGAAAGATTCGACAAAAACGAGGTCTGGTCCATCGATTTCTACCAGGCATGCTGTTGATACCGAAGATGTAGTCGGACACAAGGATATGTCAGCGAGCAATTAACATAGGCTTGCATTTCCATCGGCGGGTTTTCGCTTCGAAATGGCAGCTCCTCGGATGCGCTTTCCTCCCGAAGATCTGATTTGTCCTATTCAGTTATTATTCAGCCCACCGAACCCCTCGCTGGAAAGGCGATCGGCGATCGGAAGATTGGGAATTGGGCGATCGAGGAGACTCCGATTGATCGGCCAGATGTTTGTGGAAAGCAACCGAGTCAGTGATCAGGAACTGCCCATCCGCTAGGGAAAATAGCCGATTTCCATTACTCCTCCACCCGATCGTCCGCGGGAAAGATAATAAGGTCGATGAATCAGGGAAACGAAGCGCCCAAAGAGGCCTGGAGCGGGTCGAGCTGTGGCCGTACGGACTCCTTACGGCGACTGAACTCGAATATGGAATATTTCCGACGAGGAACGCATCTCGAATAGTCGATCGGTGCAGGTTCGAGGCTAGAATGTGTTGCGTAAATCGCTACATCTATCAGTCACTCGATCAGTCATGCTTTCGCTTTGATACCGGAAGTCGGTTTAACTCCTCAACGATGAAATGAGACAGTCGCAGATAAAGATCATGGGGAGGGTTGTATCTTTTATTCACATATCCTATACGACTTTTTCAAGTGCGACTGTGATTAATTTACAAAGTCTATACAATACACGCTCTCTTTGTCGTTGTTCAACCCGAGTAATGGCCCTCGGCGACAACGATCGACGGAAAACCTGTAAACAATCCTTCATTAATACCTCCGATCGTTCCGTTTCCTATAGACCGGCGAAGGCGAGCGTCTCCTCGGCGAAGGACTTCGCCGCGATCGTTTGGTATCTTTCCGGAAAGAGTCTCGTTTTCTGTCGTCGTCGTCGTATCTCCTTTTGCTCCTCCCCGAGGAATATTCATCGCGTCTGCGTCTTTCGTCGTCCTCCATTCTCCGCACGAGTCTCTCCCGGAATTCTCGACACTGATCTTGGATCTCCGAGCGACTGAGACGTTTCCGTTCGAGGTCGTCCTGCAACTTCAGCACTTCGCACTCTATTTCCCTCAGTTTCATCCGACGTTCAGAGTCCAAGCGCTCGTCTAGTTGGCTTTGAGTTTCTTGCAAATCCTGATCTTCGCCGGGAAACCGATTCCTCGGTTTCGATTGATCCTTGTCCTCCTCGAAGATATCCCATTTCGAAGTCGTTACCGCCTGTTCCTCAACAACTTTGGGATCGACGGTTTCCCACTTGCTCGTGACGAATTTCGGTTTTGTGTCGTCTTCCTTCGTTTCATGCTCGCTGTCGTCGCTTCCGTAGCCCACGAGTGCTTTGATTCCGGATGTCTTCTCCTTTTCGTCTTTTTCGCTACTCGTGTCGTCGTCGTCAACGTCGTCGATGTCCACGAGGGACTTCTTGTCGAAACCCATGAAAATATTCTGCAGCTGCAGCAAGACGTCTTTCGAGTACAAGGACCATTCCTGCCACGCTTTCAAGACGTTCAGCACCCGCTGTTTGAACTGCGTGGCCGTTTCCTTATCGCAGATGGTATCGTATGTAGTCGTGAGAGCCTTGACGATTTTCGTGACGAACGGCTCGAAAGCTACTCTGAAGAAACTGGCGTTCGGCAATCGAGCCGTGCAGTTGTACAGTATGTCGGACACAAGGTAGAAGCGTGCTATTTTCTTGTACAGTGGGGTTTCGATGATGTCCAGGGAGTCGACGAGGAGGTCGACGATTTCTTCGGCGGCAAACGCGTGCTCGATACAGTACATCATCGTTTCGCCGATTCGCTTCTTTTCCGGCGTCAAATTTCTCACCATGTATTCTACTTTGGCGCGTTGTCTCGAGTCGAGTCTACCCGTCGCGGGATCGCCGTCGGTTTTGGACTCTTTCCTACGCAGTTCGGCTTCCATTTTCTTGAACATGTGCTCGGGCATCCCCTTGATCCAAGGATTTGGCGTCGGTGGCTTCCACCAGGAGCCCTCCTTGAAGATTTTGAACTTTTTCAATCGATACTTGCTCGGATTGTCTCCCTGTAGCACCGAGAACAACCTCCACCGGTAGTAGACGTGCGCCGGACATTGAAAATTGAAAAGGAATCTGAACATAGGATTGCTGAATTCCTTGCTCATGACCAACGCTTCGAACATCGGTCCTTCCCGGACGACGAACTCGACCATTCTGTGTATAAGACTCAAGAGGGTGCGGTCGTTCGGCGGAACGACACGCACGGTCGACACGGACACGAGTTCCCGCAACTCCTCGCCGTCTTCCTCGAGCAGCGCTTGAGCTTTTTCCAACGAGATCTGCCTGTCCAGAGGGGGTTGGCAATTAAAGGGCAGCCCGGACGGAGCAGGTGGCATGGTCAGATGCTGCATACATGGAGGAATGTAGATCGGGGTCGGGGGTATGACGATGGGCTTCGACCAGGACATGCGCATGTCCAGCCCGCGAACCGGTTTTCCCTGGAGAAGTGACATTGCTCGCTCGCCGTCTTTACGCGACATGTACGCGACGAAACCGTAATTTCGATTTTTCTTGCGGTCCTCGTCGGTACGTGGCCACATTATCTTGATTGAAGCAAGGGGCCCGTACGCACCGAAGAGCTCGCATAGGTCCTTCTCTGTCAGAGACGAATCCAGGTTGGACATGTAGATATTTGTCGTGTTCGGGTCGTCCGAATCGTATGAAGAATGATGATGGTGATGATGACTGAACTTGCGATCGCTCGACGAAACATCTTCGAGCGAAAGCGACGAAGAGCCCCGGGACGACCGCTCGAGTTTCGGCTCATCGACGAGTTGGCCTTTGATAACACCTTTCAGTCGATGTCTCTCTTCACGCTCTTCCTGAATTATTTTCAATTCTTCCTTGTAGAGCTCGAGAACCGATTTTTTTTTCGGTTCGTTCTTCTTCCGACCGGGCTTCGCCGGCTTCTGATCACCGTGGCTTCGACTCGAATGTGATGACGACTCGCTGCTGTGTCGGCTGGAGGGAGGCGTCCTGGACTTCTGTTCAATTTCGTCCATCCGCGGCGGCTTGTAGAGCTGCTTCGATACTTCCCGCTCGCCTGTTCCAGGAGCGACGATTCCAGCTTTGACGAAAGTTTTCGGCTTCGCTTTGTCATTTTCGAATGTGGCCACGAACTCTTCGTAGGCTTGAGCCGCGGCTTTCGAGTCTTCTTCCTGTCGCTGCTTCTCGGCCTTCTGCTGTTGAGTTCGTCGGTTCGAGCTCAAGCCGAGACTGAAGGCCTTAACTTGAAATTTACCGCCGGACATCTGGAAGAGATAAATGCTTCGTGAGGATTTCGCTTGACAGATCCAGGCAGTTTCCGAGGAGATACGGAGGAGACCCGGAGTTCTCTTCCAGCATGAAGCGCTGACATTGGGAAGGAGGGGGGGAGGACAGCTTCCACACAAAATGCGATCGGTGATCCGGAATCCGCTTACTCCCGCTGCCGTGCTGCGCAGTAGCGGTGAGTCGCTTCCGCGAAAATTAACCGGTGGCTGCGAAATTATTCCTCCGTACCAGGTAGCGTCAACCCATGGGTTCCGACTCATTCCCTATCAGCAACTGATGATTGAATATGGTAAGGGCAATCGGATTCCGAAAAAAATGGGGGGGAGTCCAGCTCAAGGCGGGGATAGTTGCTCAGATCCTTGGACTGATATTCCCAGGAGAAGCCATGAATTCCAATCAATGACTCGATCAGAACAGCGACACCGATGGATCATCGGATATCAAGCGCAAGCTCTCGAGTTCACGGTGGAAATAGATCCGACGCTCCCCACGTACCTTCGAGGCGAAACTTCAACGAAAAACTCGTTCAGCAGCAGTCAAGAGATATATTGTGTTCAGGCATCAAGCTGGGCGGACACAACATTCGGCGACGAAAGACAAATTTTGATCACTAAGAAGCAGCACCTTCACAACAACATGGTAGAGACACACACTCACAATGAGATACTAATGCGCTGGCTGAGCTTTCTTAAGCGACGGAACCTCTCATGCATCAGCGGAATAAGGTAAACAGCAGCATTTCCGGAGGCTTGCACAACTACGCTGAGATCATGTTCAAGGTATTCCTTCGCTGCGAGGAGCCTCGTGGAGCGTCTCTAGGCTACCGAGCTACCCGATGAGGCTGTTGAAAATCATCTCAACTTGGTGATAGCAATATAATCATTCCGCTGAGCGCCATTAAAGGCGCCATCTTGGCGACCCGCTTGACGGCCCGCCAAGACCGGAGTACCGACCACTTCGAGATGCATCCATCCGGAAGACCCGGGAAAGTTATGGACCGAGAACCGAGATGAACGGAAAAACGGAAAATGGAAACGGCTTTGTGCGGAAGCGCCGGTATCTCGCGCTGGTCGACGGGAGATGCCGTAAAGTGGGATTGAAGCTGACTCAGGGGACAAGCGCTCTAATGCGCTTGAAGGTGTTTGAAGCTCCGGAAGGCGAACAGTTTTCCGCCGTGCGATGATGATCTGGTCAGATAGCTCAATACAGCTCGTGTAAGCGGAGAAGGTCCGCTCCCTTTGCTAGACATCCCCCGGCGACTCAAGCTCGCCGCTACGGGATAAGGGACACATTCTCGTCTTTGAACGAACACCGACGAAGAACGAGCCGGATAGCGGCTCAATAGGAGAGGGAATAGGAGTATGGGGGCATCCCGGAGTAGATCTCGGTCACGGGAATAATAATCTCTGCGTGGCTTGAACGAGTCTTGATGAATATTCAGACCTGGTAGATTATATCAGTTCAGAGATATAACGTACACACAATGATTTTCGATCGACTCATGGGTTTGAAGAATCTTGATTTTGGTGCTTGTTCTCGTATCAATCTCCGTTCCCGCTGATACTTGGGATTTAGTTCAGTACAGCGTCGGTGCTGGTAATCATCAGCGCCACGGCACTCTTGCTCCCTGGAAGTCGGCTGCAGTGTCTACCACTGACTGCACCCGACTCGAGAATACTAGCAATATTGTCCTGCCTGCACGCTGCTCATCATCCCCGAGAGCACCGAATCCCGGGTTGTATTGTATGCAGATCGGCGGTGGAAAAATGGAAACGCTATCGCCCTCACCAGAATGAATACACAACCTTGCGGATTCGCTAAAAGCAACAGACTCTTTACCCATGAATTTTTCTTAGAAAATTTCCGTCGAGAGTATAATCACATGAAAACTCATCAAAACATTATCACGGCAATCATGGATATAATGTGAATTTGTTTCTATCCTCGAGTCAGAGGTTTTTTAGCTTGTTGATTGAAGCTTGCGCGACTCCTCGCCGTGTAGAATACTTGAGAGAAGGAACCATCCTTCAATCAAAAGATATAAGTTGAGCCTCTGGCGGATGAACGACGGCCGGTCCGGGTTCATGAGTCGGCACAGCCGGGAGATTCAGAACCTCCTGATGGTTCGGCGTGGGTGTCTGAGGCGGTGCGCACGGCTGCGGTAGAGGCGTTTGTGGGACCGTTGGCATGGACGCCAACATTTGGTTGACTCCATACGGCTCGAAAGCTGGTTGTCCTGGTCCGTGAACTTGCTGCGGGACATGACCGTGGGCCGGCTGATGATTGGAGATTTGCTGATTCACTTGCGGTAAAACCTGCTGCTGCAACTGTTGGGGATCGTGGTCGACCGGACCTTGCATCTGTTGAGGGGCGTGATTCACGACCTGCTGTTGGGGCTGGTGATGTTCAGGTTGCGATGGCACTTGTTGGGGCGGCCCATAGTTCTGATGCATGTGATTCGGTGCGTAATATTGTGTGACCTGGGGTCCGGCTATGGTATGAGGCGGGGACATGGGGGGTTGTTGTTGCTGCTGCTGTTGCTGTGGAGGAGGAGGATAAGCTTGACCCGGCGGGAGGCCCTGCATAATGGGACCTTGGGGCATCGCTCCTGGTGGGATAGCCCCAGCGGGGATCGCTCCAGGCGGGAGCGCTCCTTGGGGCATGGCTCCGGGCGGCAGGGCTCCTGGAGGAAGCATCGTCACACCGGGGGGATACTGGGCTTGAGGGTTGTACATCGGGGGCTGACCGGGCAGTTGCTGGGGGAGCATGCCCATGGGCGGGAGCATGGCAGGCACTCCGCCCGTCCGGTATTGCATTTCCTGCTCTTGCATTTTCATCATGGCCATTTGATGTTGGTACTGGAGGTATTCCTACGTCAAGACGGAGAAACGAGTTATCTAATTTCCTCATCTCTAAAATTGGTGATGGATCATGAACGCAGTCGGATAAGGGAAGGTATCCAGCCTCGGAGTCGCTATAGGGATGTTCTACTAAGCTTACGTGTTTTCTCTGACGCATGATCTCTAGTTTATGCGCCATCTGGAGCTGTCTTGTTCTTTCCGCTTCTTCCTGTCGTTTACGCTCCTCCTCACGATGTTCCTCCCGCAGCGCATCCAAGGCCGCTCTCGCGTCCCGAATCTGTTGCATTTTGTCTTGGAGTCCCTCGTAGTAAGCTAGGGAGAACGACATGATTGTGATGATCTGTTTCTGAGAGAGTGGTAATCGATTTCAGGCATCGAGACCATGACAATCGAGACCCTGAAGTAATTTCGGGCTCTGAAGTACCTCGCTGGTCGTCCGTTTCCTGAACGGCCTGAAGCAACCTCGCATGTAGCGAGGAGATCTGCATGAAGAGGGACTGTAGGTACGTGTCGTTGGCAATCGGTCTTCCGCGCATTTCGTTCGAACGCAATCGGTTCACGAAGTTGTCCAAACTCTTTTCCAGGAGCTGCTCAAACTGATCATCGCTTTCTGTTGACTGGGGCTGAAACGAAGCGAGATGCATTCATTGTCATTTCCGGCGATGATAATCCGGCTCGCGCGAATTTCTGAGGCGAATTGCAACTCACCAACGCATCGAGGGGCTTCACTGTATGCTTCGGCGTGTCGGTGTCGCCCACTCGATTACTTCTCTCATCCCAATATTTCCGATCGAGATAATGTGTCAGCTCAGATTCCGTCGATCCCGTCGTAGAACCACACTCGCTGCGCGTAGGCGCGTTAGCTTCGATAGATTCTGCCGGGGAAAACTCTAGTTGGATTTTTGTGATTCACAAAAAGTCATGAAAAAAAATCCCAAAATCAAGTCGCCCGCCTCAACGCCAAATTGGGGGAAAATGAAAGAATTTCGCTCCCGATCAGAGCAGCTCCGTCATTCTCTCGATCGGAGCTATACCGTCTGGGCCTTACCTGGCGGAGGATACCGGCTTCCTGCTTGAGCTCCCGACAAGCTCGGTCCGCGGTCCTCAGCCCGCGACTCGCTCTCATACGTAGAGCTGCTATAGTTTCCGTAAGTTTTCTGACTTTTGAATTCCGCTTCACTCTGCGATAGAGCGAGCGCGAGCTGAAACTCCTCTTCTTCACGCAGTTTGTCCTCTTTCAACTTGGCTTCTTTGGCCGCCTGCTCCTGAACTTTCAGAGGGCTCCGGGAGACCACCGTGGCCGTCGCGCCACGCAGGACTGGACTCGAGTGAGAGCTGCTCTCGGGATTCACTTCCAGGAAACAGGTATCACAAACTCGGACCTTCTTCTCGATTCCCAATTTCGGCAGAGCAGACGTTTGACTCGAGCATTTCGCGCAGAACACCTGGCCGCATTTCCGACAGTGATGCTGGAATTTGACGAGTGAATCAAAGGCTAGACGACGTCAGAGGAATAATCGCTAATCGGAGGGATCTAACAGGGATTGCGTCAGGACTCCGGAGCTCACTTTTCTGTTGAACGTCGTGAATTGTGTCCTGCATAGATGACAACAATCCGAGTCTTCCCATTCAGGGGGAACTTGTGCCGCGAACATGGCGTCGCTCTCCTTTAGTTGCGGGAATTTTACGCCCTCGACACGCATGAACGTCATCAGGTCTTGCACTGCGCTGTAATACGAACACGGAGGAGTGAATTCCGATGAAGGAATCAATTAGCTCAAACGATCTGGCGAAAGCTGAGCGGCTTGGGTGCTTCGAACTCAAGGCCAACGAGGAATATCCGCATCCGACGAGAAAAATCGACTCCGACTCACCGATAGGCGGGTTCTTTGCGGAACGCGTGTGCCCACGTTTGGATGAGCTCGAGTATTTTGTCGCGAACGACTTCAGACTCGTGAAGTCTCAAAAGACCTCTGAAATCCTCCATGAACGCTTGAGTGGCTACTTCCTTGTGGATTGGATGACCGCAATTTTTCACCATCGATTCGAGACAGTGAAGCGCGAGCATCGTCACATTGGGGTTTTTCGAAGTGAGCTTCTTCTTCACCAGGGCCAACGCGACTTTTGGGCTGAAATCAGAGGTCATTCCTGAGAATCCTCAATATGAGGGATATGAATGAATTCTTTTGAAAGACTCTCGTATATGGGAATTCATCCCCATTTCGTCAGCGAAAGAAACCCAAACAGATTGAACGATGAACTAGACGGAGCGAATGACCCTTGCCTACTGCAAAAGTTTAAGCGCAAATCCCGTGAGCTCATAGACTGCGGCGGCGTGAGTCACCGACGACTCCGTGCGACACTGTACTCAAGCGACAGCACAATATGCTCGATCGCGAGCGTGGCTGTCAACGGCGCCGTTGATTGTCTGACTCAGTGACGATATCCTCAGCTTCCATCATTCCTCCATTGATACGCAGTAGGAGGAGGGACGAAAATTAGTGAAACGAAAACTTCACGTTATGGAATCGGAAGCTATCAGCTTCGGGCTAATACTCTCGGCGGTGCATTCAACCCCGAGCTGAGTCATCGCGGAATTGATTTCGCCGACGCTTGATCCCAGCTAATCTTCGTGTGGATCTTATCGGACGGATTGCGAGCTTGTGGAACACCATATATCAACACAGGTTCTCGTCGAGTTGATGAAACTTTCCTTGGCGAACCGATATTAAGATTCTTGGTCTACGACGTCTGATCATATATGAAGTAGCCAAGGGAGAAAATATAAGATCGAAAGAGTTCGATGATCGAGGGCAACGCCGGGGGAACTTGATCGAACACTACTCTGATCTATGATGGACGTAGGAACAAGGCGTGTATGGTTCGCGGAAAGAAATTCCTTATTGCACGCAAGGACCGCCCCCCCCCCCCGTCTCCGACACAGACGCCCTGAGTCAACGTCATGTTCAGAATTTTTCTCCGAGATCAACTGCCCGGGATCTCGAGTCGAACTAATCGAGAAGAAACTGGTCAAGAGAGACGATTCAGTAAATAGATCTCGAGGCAGAACTCAACCTCCCGACGACTGGGAACTCACTCAGATTCTCCTGATCGAATCGAATCACACATTTCTATGATCACCATCCAATCCGGCTCGAGAAGCTGGGTGCTGGTGGCTCTCTCTGGAAGGGAACGTACACGGAGATGAGTCCCGGACTCCACGAAACTTCAAGAATTTCCAGGACGCCCGCTCCGGTTTTCCGTATATGACGTATACGGCTGGGCACTCACAGCTGGGAAATGACACCAGGTTCATGTGGGACCGCGAATCTATTTCAACTTACCCAGCAGAACGCCGAAGTTATTGCCACCGCTCCACGAGAACATGATTGTTAGTGGAGGCGGCTCAGGAAACCTAGATCACTGGAAAGTCGGTGTCCACTAATTTTCAAGAGCCAGAATTTGATGCACACGAATTTCCACCAACACACCTAAGTCATCATGCGGCTTGCCGTACGATGCAGCTGGGAGGAAACAGTGATAGGCCCACAGTCACTACCCTTTCCCCGAGAGCACGATTCGCTTTCTGCTGGACCCAGAATCCCGCGGTGAGAACCGATGCCGGACTAGAGTCTGTCAGGAGAAGGACCGGAATGGGATGATCGTACATGAAGTGTCGACTCCGGAATTCAGACATTGAGGAGGGACTTGTGCGTACTGAATCAGGAGAGGGATGAGGGAGTCCTTTTCGGCGCGACTTTCGAATCCATGATCCTTCCTCTGATCTATCAATCATCTATCGATGAGCGAATTCTCGTGAATCGGAGGCTCCTCCCGGTGGAGCGCTCAGCATAAGGGTGATGTTGGATGGACACCGATAGGCCGTCGGGAACTACATCGTCCCGGACCGTGTTGCTTGCATAATTTACTTATGTCCTAGTCGAGCTTTGTTTACATCCAAAATCAGCTGCTCGCGCTCGCTCGTTGAAGACCTATTAGACGGCCTGGGCTCGGACCTTGGTATATTTTTAGCAACATCTTCTTACTCGTGGTGCTGTGAGGATGATATTCGGATCTGGTTTGAGGCTTTAAACGATGTGATTCCTGGTACCTGGTGAAGCTCACTTGAAGTTCCGGAGACATGCCGCGGAAAAATAGCAAGAAAAGAGCCGCGGCTGTTGAACAAACGGAAGAGGACTGGGCAGCGATCTATGGCCAGCCTGCGCAGCCTCGGACTATAGAAAGTTATGAAGTGGAATGGAGTCATTGGAGAATTCGAGCGGAAGAACGTGAAGTCATCGAAGAGCCTGAACTGCCGATTGCGAGTGCGCCCCCGTCGGAATCTGATGAAGCCTGCGATGATTCCCCAGTCAGATTGCGCCGAAAGCGAAAGGTAGAGTATGGCGAAGCGCGTTTCAATTCATGTATGATCGATGAGATCGTCGAGACGATAAGGGTCTGAAGTCAATGTTCGGAGCTTCGGTGAATGCTCAGAAGACTACGCTGTTCATCGGAGATCTCCCCATCGATGAATACAATCATGAATCGGAATCCGAGCCCGTTGAGGATTCATGAGATCGGTCTGGAAACCGTGATCCTGAAGAAAGTGTTGGCAAGACATTGTCAGACGCTTGAGGCACATTCTCGCGCTGAACGCCGAGTTCATGATGGGCTGCTCGACTTAGCCCTGAGGGCATACTCGCTGAGTGATCAACTCGAAAAAGGCGGAAGCGATCGAAATGATTGGCTCCCTCAGCTTTCGATATGTTTCACGGGTACATCTCACATGCGAGCTCTCTAAGTTATCTACTCAGATATCGGGCATATCGCTCACATCACCCTGACTGCATATTGAAGTCGAGGCCCTCTGTCTCACTTTGCGACCAGCTCGGAGTCAATCCAGTCTGAACTTCAGAACGGAGCTGTGCCGGCAATGGACAAGGTGCATCCCTTTGGGGACTGTGTTTCGATTAATATGCCTGGAGAAGGTTGGATTAGCTCTCTTAGACTCTCTCGGATCTTCAGTTTAAATGTTTCTTTTCGGTTCTTACAGTCAGATTCCCCTCCACGTCAGTCACCGGAGACGCCCGCCGACTATCAGAAACGATGGTCACGGCCCCCGATCGAAGTCGAAGATGCCAGGACCCGGCAGGCGATTACGCTCGGAATATCAGTCGCCATCATCGTCGCTTGCCTGATAATGATAGGGATTGTCTATCAGGCTACCGAGTCAACAGTTCTCCGCGTTATCCGGCCGAATCTTATGCCGGCCTTCGACAGAAAGCTCAACGATCTTAAGCTGCAGTTCCCGTCGCAGCCCGAGCACAACTGGGCGATAGTCCGGGGTGCGTTCGCCGAAGTTCTCAACAACTCTGACTACGGGTATGGACCTGCGATTCTCATTATACTCGCATCCAGGAAGGATCAACACTTGGCGTCGTGTTTTTCCGAGCGACTTGCGTCGTCGCTCGCAAGAACTTTCCACCCGGCGGAACGTCCAATAGTGCTCAATGGGGCGAAGCTCCATAATTCTCGAGATGCGGTCGCAGCCAAGCACACGATAGACAATGCGGTCAAAGATAAGGACAACTTCGTGATGCAGTTCGACTCGCTTGAACGTATCGATGCCTACACTGCCAGCATCTTTCATTCGTTGTGCGATTACTACAACTCGCCCTTCAAAGAGCGTGCTGTCTTCATCTTCACCGTTCACACCACCGAGGACGTGGAGAACCGGACTCGCAGGGAATACGACGAGATGGCTGATAGAGTGCTCAACGACGCCTGGGAAGACTTGAACATCAACAAGAGGTCTGCCCTCTTGGCTCGATTGACCGGTAATACGATTCTGCTGCGGAAAGAAGCTCGAAGGGTTTGTTGAAAGAAGTGAGCCTCGCTCGAAGGGCGAAAATCACATGCATAGCCTGGGGCTGGATCGAGGAGGATCTTCCCGGACATACGTTTGGTTTCGTTCCGATTCCACATTGTTGGTACACTGTTACGGCTCCACGGGAGCCATTCTCATCCCCCGATGTCCAGCGGAGGGAGAAATTATATTTTTGCAATAAAGGCTTTTAGGAATAAATCATTGACCCTTCGAGTACCAGCGTCCCTTGATTCTCCTCCTGTGTCGTGGATGACTCCAATCACGTAGAAATACTCGACAGTTCCGAGGCGACACGCATCCCATGGGAAAAACTGCGGAGCCTTCTTCCAGGAGCGATGATCGTCATGAAATCAGTATCGACGGCCTCGAAATTGTCGATGATAATAATCGATGTATCGATAGTGATGAACTATCGAGCATCGTATATTCAGAGATTCCACTCACTCAGCGTTTCGGGAGCTGGAATATCGACGCTGAAAAGAGACGGGGCTCAGGATGGCAAGCTTGAGGACTTGCGGGTGCCTCATACTCATCCAAAATCGAGCCACTCGGGCAGCGGACGAGATCCCGTCCACTACCGATTGATCCCGATGGAATTCTCCCAGTGCCTAAAGCTGTCTATGAGTGAACACCTCCGTGGTCAACATCGAACATCCGGGGAGAATGTGCGAAGCTTTTTCCGATTCGCATGATTACTCCGACATGCAGCGCGGCGGAAGCCTGTGGAGCGACGGCAAAGTGCTACCGGGTACAATTGGAGGAAGCACGTTGTTCCTTCGTAGCTCAGGGGAACCTCGAGGAATCTGACTGAGAGAATGTCAAACACCTAGATTGATTCTTGCGGTGTACCAGATGTGGAAGTCGAGAGTTCCAACACGATGTCCCGGTTATGTTGAGACTGTGGGAGACTAACACCGTTGCGGGATTCTACTTGGAGCCAGAATAACGATGAAATCAGAGACTGCCATCGTCTCGCAAATCTCACTAGGTTCAAGATTGTCGCATCATGATTCGGCTTTATTCTGTCGGACTGCGCTCTCATTACCAACGCGCAGAAACTTCAAAGCTTACTAGGAGCTTTGTGGACCGTCCTGCCAAGTGTCTTGAGGAGTCCCAGCGGGAACCTGGGGCATGACTTTCCACGCGGGAACGATGTAATAAGGCTGCTGAATGTGTTGGCCTGGCTGGCTCCAGTGGCAGTGAGGTGATGATGGCATTGCAGCTTGACTGGGAGTGACCGCCGGTTTTTTCCAAATCAATGGAGGCGCAATGCCTTCCGGTCGCACAACATAGGGAGGGTCCTCGATTGCGTCGAAGAGATCTCTGAACTCTCCGGGGTAATTTCTCTCCACGAACGAATCCATGGTCGACACTCGTTGTTTTCCACGCATGAATTTCAAGCAGAGATTTCTTATATCGAGTCTCCAACGACAACACTCTGGAGCAAGGGTCCCGAGCAAGTTCTACTCTGAAGAGGGAATCGATTCTGAACGGTATTCTGTGAGTACTCGCCCGGATTTCCGAATGGATCCTGTATCCCACCATCGAGTAGCAGCCTTCCGCCACAATTCGTAATTTTCTGCATTTCTCTCACGATTTGTATCATAGTTCCCCACGCTCAGTGTCTAGAGTCTCAGCGTATCAAGTAACGCGGAGTTCGTCTAAGGAGTTCGAGCTTATCACCGGCCATTGCAGATTGAACCTTTCGGTTTGTCTTCAATCTCGGCGTTCCCCGTAAAGTTCCCCCTGGAGTCCCGTCAGGAGTCAGGATATACCATGTTCTAGAAAGGAGATCCCATCTGATCAGAATCCGCCGCCGAGAGGTTTGATTGTCTACTCCTCGAGAACCCTGCGGCTCTGGTGGCTCTGACGAGCCTCGATGGAACACATTCTCACTGGGCACTGCCGTCCAGCACACTCCGTCAGCTGATCGATCCATCGCTTAGATATCCCGACGGCTCGAGCGATTCGACGAAGCGCTGAGCTCAGGCTCATTATATATCCGTCCTGATGTCATTATACGTTCTCTCTTCCCGTCGATCCGACACCTAAACTCGCGAAAGAGGGTTTATTCATGCGACATCTACATAACGCTCCGACGCCGGAGAGCATCGTTTTCTTCGCATATTCTTCCCCCGGCACAACCCGCTCAAGGATACGAGGACTGGGGTCCCTGAGCGACGTAGAACAACGCATGAGTCAATGAAAGCACCAACTCAGACGCTTGGGAATACTTCCGCGCGTCGCTGAACATGGAGCTCACGCATGGGAATCTTAAGAGGCTCATTCCTTCATGTCCTCTCGGAATAAGCGAGCCACCCATATGGCCTTTCTCGCGGGATTCTGATAACTGGGTTTTGTTTCAGATCCCATATGGGGTGGAACGTTTCCGGAAGCAGCGTGAAAGTCGCGAGCTCGGAACGAGCGAAGTCGTCACTCCTTACTTTCGGCATCCCAAATACATGTGAGATATCCTGCTGGTGGTGCCACACAACGGTTCCCATTTCCCAGTCTCGCGTGACAGCTCCAACTCGAGGACCGACATGCAGAGGACGGCATTGAAGCGGAAGCCTTCGAAGGCGGCTCGGTCGACGATCTCACACTGATTCAAGTGTCCGCATGTTCGCACTGTACTCTTCGTGACATTTCCACGATGCTCATCCCCCCCACCGCTGTCCTCGGTCGACAACAGGAGTTTGACCCAAAGATCGGCTCCAAAAGAGCTGCCCTTCGACACATTGAAGCTACACGTTTCTCCCAACTTGTCCATATCGACGGAGCTCGACCTTAGAGTGGCGTTCGGAAGCGGAGCGCTCATCAAATTGAAGCTGTACGCACCGCTCATAGCGTAAGCATCCTCTCGGGTGACTCGAAAAGTTAGCACACGATCAGGCCACGGAAGTTCCCCAATTATCGATCCACCAGAGGTTCCCACGATCAGAACCAGCGCGTAAACATATCCGACGATTTTGCCTTCAAGCGATATCTTGAACACTGACGAAACGGCACCACTGATTCCGTCTTTCGTAGGAATGAAGCTCACCACGTTGTTCACTCCAGTGCAAGCCGTCGGCAGACCACATCTCGAGCCGTCAGTGAATGAGACTTCGCATCCATGATTCAGCATATGCGTTTTCTTATGCTTCCAAAACATGGGATCAAAAAGGAACATGTGCAAGCAGATGCCGAAAATCGCGGTGGCAACCATGATGACTGAGATGACTCTCGTATAATCCAGAGACACGAGTTTTTCGGATGCGCTCGTGAAAGTGCTCCGTGTCAGAAAAGAACTAGCACTCTTAGTGGTAGTAGCCGAACTTGTTCTTTCATCATGACGAGAGTCTTCGCTCATTTCAGCACACATCGTCTGCGAAGCTGATCGAATAGCTCACGAATCAGGGGTGCAGTAAAGATCAAACCTACGTCTCACGAGCTGAGTGCCAGGTATATAGTTATGAAATCATTATGGAAGTATCGTCGTCGTCGCTCTGTAATTGATCTGTGAAGACACCGATGGCCCCCGCGACTCAGAATGAAGTCCAGGATGAATATGGGAGTGAAAAAGCAAACGTTCATCAGGTTCCCGAGCTCTTGAGTAGCAATCAAATTAAACCAACCGGTGACTAGCGCTTCCCTGCATGAGAATCGCAGCGGCGGAAGTCGTGCATCGACTTCGTATTCGTCTGCAGGGGTCGGCGCCTCTAGGAGGTCTGTGATGTCTCAAGTTGCCTCAGTCTTTCCTCGCGCTGCTCTCCAGTCATCGTAGCTAGATATATCCTGTCTAGCAGAACCTCCCTGACTGTACGCTTCTTCGAGCTCTGAAGGGCCACATTCCGCTCACGACAAGGGGATGAGGACCGGTCGTCTCAGCCGTAAGTGTAGCTCGTGTCAAGCCAGGACTCGCCGAGGCGTTAGGAAGATAGGTGCTCCCTAGATCATCTGGCAGGAGTCTTCTCTCAGAAGTTCCCGGCAGGATACCTCCGCTCGCCTCTCCGACACGATTCCTGAAAATCACGATACTTGTCCGGGTTCCGTACGTGTCGTCGTCATCCTGCTCCCAGGGAAACAGATTTCGAGCAAACTCTGGATTATTCAAGTCGAGGGCGTGATTCCGGCATTCTATTCCGCGCCAGTTGCGAGTTCCCCGAGGACCGAGAAACTTGGCCTCCTGAACTACAGATATTCTGCGATCTGAATCAGATTGCAGAAGATCATATGATGAGGTCAAGTAGCGGTTTACGAGACTCTCTAGATGACGAGCGAGAGCTCCCAAGGAAATCCATTGCGCCGCTATCATACTCTGAAGCGAATAGCACTCGCATCCACAACATCCTCGGATATTCATACCGTGCTACTAGAGCCTCTTTTGATGTTTGAGAATAAACTTCAGTAGCACCCTGTCATCAGTAGGTAGAGATTACCCGCCCTGATATTCTAGACCCCGGAATGGAGCTCGGATTCACGCACTACGAGAGCCTCGGGGACGCTTCGTGAAGGATTAACTTCGAGTAATCTCGTAAGCTGATTAACTTAAACTCTCGTCGGATATTAAGCGTAAGTAGCCGTACGTGGCTCAAGTAACGGAAATCCAGCTGTTTGAGGATTTATCCGAACCTATAATGTCTAATGTCTCATTGACAGCATGGGATTAGAGACTTCGGGAGAGCCGTGAAGAGGATCTGCCTGTTTTAGGCTCACCAATGAGAGAATTACATATCCAGTTCGTATTTCCTCTCCTCGGTTCGTATTTCCTCCTCAACCAGCATTCCCGACCGAGAACCTCCGGGGACCTCAGGCGTCGCTGACACTATGAGAATGAGTAGGGGAAACTCATATCATTTCTGGTCCCAGCGATTGCTCTCACTCTGAGAAAGCAACCTTTATAAATTTCTAAGGAACCTGCTCGTGTAATCACCAGAGCACCAGCAGAATGAGATCCGTCCTTGCCTAGGCCCCCTGACCGGAGGATGACTGCGGTCAGCGGGAGGGAAGTATACCTAGTTCCGAATCGCCCACTCCACTCAACCAGGCACTCCCGCTGAGACAGAGGTTGGGCACTCCCCAATCATCACGCAAATCATGCGCAAGGTGAAAAATCACGACACTGGAGCCATAATGACGGACCCGGAGTGAAGTTGACCTTTCCACTCCCTCACTGTAGTGGATCGATCTAGTGGGCTGTAGGCCTCGTCATCGCTGCAAGGCTCACTGTGCGACGGTCTACTGGTAGGGAACTCCAATCTCGTGTTCAAAACAATGACTTTTCTGCAGCATACGAGAGCATAGTTTCCGCGGCTCACGGACTCCGCCGAGAGATCAGAGACTTGACGCGCGGTCGCACCAGTCTGCGACTAGGAAAAATGTGCAAGCGGAGATGAGATTCAGCTCTTCTGAAGGCCAGGTGGGAAAACAAAGACGGAGAAGTTTTCTGTTTTCGAGTCCACGCCATTTTTATTATGAGTGAAAAATAATTGCAGTACAGGAGGGGGGGGGGTAAACAGGGTTCCACTGAAGAAACGCATTTTCCGCAACCGCTCACTCCAGTCTCGTACCCGTCGAAAATTTGGAAAGGACTTCGGACAGAGTAGTCCCATTCCATATCCGAAGAAGAATCTCCATTTTCTCTCAATCGATGTTTGTGATTGATTCCCACGTCCGTCGTCGGACTGATCGGCTCCCTTGGGCGGGTATCGTCTCTAACCGCGGACGAGATTCACGCCGGCGAACGTTCCGTAGGACGGCAGCGCGACGCGGTTGTCGATTTGACCGATCTGCCGGGTCACTGCGACCTGTTGCCTAGTTGGAGGAGCTTGAGGACCGTATTGGATGGCGGCCTGCTCTCCGGTGATCGCTGACGAGTTGATGATGACATCGGCGGGGTTCTTCGATTCGGTACCGAGCTCGTTCGTAGTGACCTCAGCGCGGTATCCGTTCTCGTCGGCGACGTAGTTCACGGTTCGCTGACGTCCATCGGCCGAGATGATTGTGTACGAGCCTTGGACTCGACCGTTGCCGTCACCCGTCTGCTGAGCTGAGTGGGATCCCTCCACATCGTCCGAGGAGTATGCGAATTCGTAAGGCGTGGGCGCGTAGTTCTGTGCGGCCACATACGCACCGGAGTTGATCACGTTCAGATTATTCGGGACGACGACTCGGCGACCTTGCAGTGCGATCTGGCCTGAGGCCATTGAGACTATCGCGAGTGCCACTAGAGCCTGGAAGTGATCGATTGTCAGTTTCGGTCTCTGACGATGAATGTGAGGATACAATAATGGATTATCGTATCGACGATCGTGACCATGTGTCGACCCATGGCCCGACAGTGAGTCATCGGAGATCTTTGGAATGCTTGACAAACACTAGAAGACTTAAACGATTATTCGTCCGGAGAACACCATGATTAGATTCAGAATTATTCAGGATTTGACTGGACTCGAATTCTGGTTTGCCGGACGAAACCAGAATGACGACCTATTCCTTGCATTGGTACTCGACCCTAGGCCCGAGAACCAATCGATTCGAGCGCAGCTCAAGGACCGAGATGAACAACACAGAATCCGCTAGCACTTGGGAACAAATTCAGTCGAGTATTCCGATAACACGCAGCCTTGCTTGATCCTCTCCGAGTGAAGACTTCGCGAGCCTGACCGAACACTACTCCAAGTTTGCAGAGAGTCGGCGAGCGCACCTTCATTGTAGAAGTTGTTGCTGGTACTTGGTGTAGATGTTGAATTGTGACGAGCAACTCAAGTACATCTTCTTTTAAAGCCGCATCTCGGCCTTGGATCCGAGCGTAGAAAAAATCTTATTGCTATTTTTATCTCGATCCCGTTTGTCGTCAGATGCCTTTTTGTCGTCGCAACGTAACTTTACCGATGCTCCCGATTCTGTTCGGATAGATCGACTTCGAATGAACGTCGACCTGGAATCGATCGCGTTTCTGTGTAGTAACCCGTTTCTAAGACTGGAAATCACACGAGCTCATCGTCTTTGTGATCCGCTTGGCCTTGCCCGATTTGAATCGATGCTGCTCTGACAATCATCGACGCTCGGGCCCACATCTCAATCCGTTACAAGTTGTTTGTCTCCGTCTCTCACGGCAAACGTTCTAATTTGGCGAGAACTTCGTGGTTGACAATGAGAATTACGGCGCTACGTGTACTACGCGATGCAGAATCGAATGGTTCGAGTAGTACACACACAGCCGTTTGTTGAACGCTGCCACGGACTAGGTATTGTCGGGCTGATAATAAAGCGTACGGGAGATTTATTTGACAATTCCAGAGGAGCATCTTCAAGCGAACAAATCCGATGAGCAGGCCAGCAGCGAAGTATCTCCTTATAAGAGGAACCGGGAGCCACTGGAATAATTTCTCGGAACCGCCTGGAGTCTATCGGTCCGTCAGGATGATATGTGCGGCCCCGAATCATGTCCCGTATGTCGAGACGATAAATCTCGCCTGTCTGCACCGCAATCGGACGCCCCGAGTCTTCTTACTGAGTTAGCTGAATGAAGGAAGGGAACAGGAGAACCGAATTGAGCATTCATTCCATCGCCCCCCCGAATCTCCGTTTGAGCCGAAGATTTTACTTCAGAGATATTTTCGTCTCGGTGGTGGGGGGTTCTTACAGGTACTTCTCAACTGGGAGATCTGCTCGAGCCTCACGACTCTAATTGTAGTCGTTACTGGAGCGGAACCCTTCAGTTTCGGCCGTTCCCATTCTTGAAGTTTCCTTACAGAATGTCAACTCGAAGCCGTGACCTCTCACGCGAGCAGTCTTCGGAACGAGCCTTCCAGCCGAGGTTCTCGATGCCGTCAGCGGTCTCATGTGAATCGAGTACCTCCATGTTCGCTGATGAGCGTGACCGCGATCGAACATTTCCGGATGTCGGTCATGCATGAGGTCACGAGAACCTGACCCATCAAGTCGGCTTTTTCTTCCTCCTCTGAACCTCTCTCGATGCTCAAAGGAAACGGGTTCCTGACCTTGAGGATTGGCCGAAAGAACTGAGGGGTGTAGGTCATCAACCAAAGGCTAACTCCGAGACGGCGGACCTTGGATACTCTAAGTTGGACCCTCCTGAGCCACGACATCCTCCGTAGCAAGCGATATGGATCATATCCAAGCGGCCCACGCAAACGCACATGCACTCAGAGGACCCGTAATTTTTCTTCTCCGCCTCCTGGTGTGGCCGCATCTTCGGAGACGCAGGGCGTCTCATCATCCTGATCGTTTTGGTAAGTCTCTGAGTTCACACATTGCTCTTGGAATCGCTCCCAAATCGGCTTCCCCATTGTCTTGCATTATTCAAAATCATCATTGGGCGTAAAGTTTCCGTGAGGGCATCTCACGAACATCAGTATCACGAGAATCCAGGTTTGAATCATAGTTTCCAAGCTCGCCTTTGGAAGAAATACTGATCTCGCTCGAAGGAATACTGATCTGAAAGGTTCGGTTACCCAGTCGGCGGGCTGGACCTCAATCGGCATGCACGCAATATCGATGTCTCCTCCGTTGTAGTGTGCTCTGATGTAGGAACATTTCAATTCGAGGAGCTTCGTACGATGATAGCACTGGGTATTCTCGATGACTCCGATCGCTGCTTGATTATTCGTTTCGATAGTTGACTTTCCATGCATGCCCCCTCCCTGAAGTGACTGTGAAGAGAGAGCCGTTTCAGAGGGGGTTCTTTCAGGTGCTTTTTTTTATATTCTTGAGTCGGATCGGGAGCGGCACTCTGCGGTTGCACCCGTTCCTTTTTTTAGACTTCCCCACGAAATGTCAACTCGAATTTGCGACCAGTCACGCGAGGGGCGCTAGGAGCGAGCTTCTAGAAAGACATTCTGCTCCGGCTCCAACAGCGGTCTCGTACGATTCGAGTCCTTCGGTTTCGTCGATGAACGTGAGCATGATCCAATGCCAATGTCGGTCACGCATGAAATCAGAAAGAAACATCTCCAACAACAAGGGGACCGCTTTGGCTTCCGTATACAGACGCGAAGGTGTGGCATATGTCTTCGAAAAAAAATTTCGTTTCCGTCTCTCTATACTGGTTCCTTAGAAAGAGGGAGATTTCGGCTGTCTCATATGATATCACGGAGTGGGATAGGCGAAACGAAATGAAACGACGTCGAATCGAAGACCTTTGTCCCAACTTCGAAACCGACCGGGAAAAGTGCGCGAATTCCTCGGATATTCCCGTGGCCAGGACTGGACACTGGGCCCATGCTGAAAATCAGTCATCGATGGAGGGGAAGATTGTCCACCTTCACCTCTTCCTCTTTGTGTCCCTTGATCATCTGTGAGCGACAGCGCTCGGGAACCCGAACTTTTTCGCTAATTGTAAGCCAAATGAAAAGTCTTCGGGATCGACTCATTCTCGGACCTTTATTATAATATCGTTTAATAGCTAAGTTGAAATTTGTTGGCTTCCTCACTAATCATCCACCGCAGAGCCGTTAACGACGGCTCTTCCCCCGTCTCAACCTTCGCTTCTCGGTTCGTCCTGAATTTCAGATATTGAAATGACACGGAATCAAATTTCGCTTCTCGTGGTTCTTTCATTGATTCGGTGCAACAGCGGACTCGATTTCCAATCGAATGGAAAAACACCGCCGTGGCTGTTGATCTCATGATCGTCCGCTACCATACGTCCCCAAACCATTGCTCCTGTCCCCTTGATGATTTATCCGAAGATCACCAACGTGAAACGAGTACGCATATAAGTGTGTCGGTGTGTGTTTTTGTGTGTGTCGATCACTTGCGCTCGAACGAAATAGACATTACACTTTCTCTCTTCCCTTTCTCTCCGGTTCTCGTCGTTACCATTCAATACCAATCATCAATAATATTATCATCTCCGACATCAGTAGATCCATCGTTATCTTAATCCTTCCCTACCAGCAGAAAATTCCGTAATCGCTTGGAGATAGCGATGTAGCTAAGCACAATTTGTTGAACTCCCCGGTACCTATGGAAAACGTTCACGTCGTTTCCCAAACGCTATTCTTCTCCATCTCTCCATCGTCATCAAGTCCATCTAACCACCCGTCGAACTAGTATTGTTTCTGCGGAATCACTAGCCGATTTCAAGGGAAGTTTTCGCGTGGAAGTGAGACGGGAGTTACATTTGGAGAGTAACAGTGAAAAGGAGGGCTTCTCGAACCTGTTCTTGTTGTTGATGTTTCTTGCAACTTCCGCGGACGAAAGAACGATTGAACGACAAGGATTGATTCACGTTGGGACCCATCCTGTGCTACCTTTTCAAATATTCTAATTATCCCGAGTGCCTCATTCGGCGCTGATCCTTCAAAAAGGAATAGCCGACGCCCATCGCGTGGTGTTCTGTATGTGCTGGATGCTCTTTGTTGTGCGACAGTAGTCATCTCTCTCTTACTTCTTCCTTTGTTTCTGTGTGTATGCCTATTAATCTGTCTGTATTTTAAATTGTTGATTGTTGAAACCAACACTCTCGTGTCTCCTCGAACGTGTCATAGTCCTTGCAATCGTCTTATTCGTTCGCCGTTAAAGTCGTCGCAAAGAGCTCGTGTTCAACAGCGTCTCCTGTACGATACGCGTTCGCAAAACGATCTGTCTCGAGTTGAGATTTGCTGGCGGCCGTCGAAACTAACACCCGCCACTATTTCCGGGGTACAAGCATCAAGTTTTTAATATCAACATCGTTTTTACACAGTGGGAGAGATGTGGCCGCCGCTGCCTTCATCCCCGTCACCCACCCCTTCATTCAGAATCATCACCTCCGTCATCTTCGTCATCACTTTCTCTATTCAGCGCAAAGGCGTATCAAGCTGCGATGTCAACTCTTATTGAGGGAAGAACCCACATGGGAAACTTCGTTGCCAGAACTTCACTTTCGATGTTTTGGATCTTATTATGCCTACTTCCGAGGGCTCCTCTCCAGACCGACGTCCTCCTCTCCGGAGTCTCGGACTCAAAAATCCTAACAGCTGCCCGGAGCACTACGGTCGATGCCGATAGCATTGTTCTTGATTCGTTGCGGAGATAATTTGCGACACGTTATCAGCGTGAGGTCACTCGATTTTTCCGTGCGGAAAACTCGCGCTTTGAAAACTCGCTCGGTGTCCCGAATATCGGAGTCTCTCGTCTCCTGCGAGCCGATGAGCTCCAGAGAAAAGTGATCCACAAGAGACTGTGTCCGTTGCCGATCACTTCCTCGACCCGACCATTTTTGCATGAAAAGAAACGAACTCGATAGGGGGCTCCTTGCTATGATTTTCTTCCTCACGGTATCAACTTCCATTCCCATCAGAACGTTATTGCTTTCTGAAATGGCGGAGCCGAATCCAACGCTTCTGATCACCGCCGCTGTATCCTCAAGGCAGCTGCCTATCTCCCTTGTGTCCATTGCAACGCCGACTCCGATCTCGCTCGATTATGATGAACCTTGAAAGATTCATGTATTCTCGAGGTCGTTCCTTCGAAGTTCGCGACGATGTTCTCGGAGAATAGAGGATATTGTTCTTAGTTGAGTTGTTATTTCCAACCGATTTATCCGACTCGGCGAGACGGTGGTCGACCTAATTTGCTGAAGCTTCCTGATCGGAAATACATCGCTGATCGATTACAGCTGATGGTGTCTCTCAACAATTTCTCGCTTTCCCGGAGCCCGATCGCGAATTTTACGTTTCTTCTTCTCGTGCCTATTTGGGATGTCCGACCACCGAACGGTCGCTGTCTGAGTCAGAAGAGGCTCGTTCCTAGAGTTTGAGTTCATTCGCCACCTTGGAAGCGATGTTCTTGAAGCCTATTGATGTACCACTGATCCGTTTGAATCTGAAAATCGAGCAGGCAAAAATCAAATGCCGTGTCGGTCTGCTCGGCTTTCCACGGTTCCGTCGGCTCCTCTCGAACGACAAGCTCTCTAGCGTCAGACCCGTTTGTTACAGGGGAATTACCCCGTCCTCGGGGTGAGTTCTCATCAGGACGGAACCGTCGGATGAAAACATCTGGGTTGTCGACCGACTCGTTATGAATGTTTCAGGTCGAGGGGATCACAACTCACCGGACGCCATTGAGAGATAGTCTAGGTAGTTTGCACACTTCGATCTCCCATTGCACGAGTGTTTCGTTATTGGGATCACCGTATACGCAAAGCAAGAGGAACTTCTCCCGTTGGTCGTAATCGCAGTTATTGCGATCGAGAACCTGTAGAACAAATCTTACTCAGAAACTCCAATTACACCTCTCGTGATCTCGCTACGATCTAGGGACTGAAAGCGATCCCGAATCGGACTTAATTCGTGATGGCGAAAAATCCTACCTTTCGGATCTCTGCCATTATCTCATTTGGATCTCGAGATGACGTCGTCTTCATACTCCATGTGAACCTCAACGATCGAGGCTTCACCTGATCTTCGCTATTCAGTGGTCTATAAACATCATACACAGAGTCAGAATAGAGGGCAAGCATGCGCTTGGAGTTTTGATTTTCAGTGTTCGGATTATCTGTGCAAGTTCGTATTCTTGAGTTCCACGGAATCCGAGTGAATGTATCGATCAAGTAGTTGTTAGACCCAGTGCTCCACTCCGAATGAGAATCCACAGAAACGACCTCTGCCATCGAAAGCGTGAAATCCTTGCCTCGTTCGATGGAAACGAAGGAAAAAAAACCGGTGGTCTCACGAATCGAATGCCCATCCCCGATATTGTGAAACGGAGGCGTCAGAAGGTTGAACTAAGCGATGATCCGATAGCCATCACCGAATAGATCTCACTTAATATTGTAGAAATAAAAAAAAGTTCCTTCGGAGCCCTCTTGGGGCGGGAGAGAATCGACACAGGGGGAATCAAATTTACGGGACGGTTCTCCGAAAACATCACAAAACAGAGAGATACTCATTTAAATCAAAATTTATTTGATATTAAATATGGACAGGTGACATCACGGAGAACACAAAAAAAGAAGCTCGAATTGAAAGTTTTCAGAATTCAACAACCGAAGTCTATTTGAGGAGAACTCAAGCAGCGAATCTAACAATTAATATCTTTTCTCCTAATGTATATCATTCCCTTCATGGCATTGAGCGCTTGAAAATCGGAATGAGCTCACGGTCCGCCGGCGCCAGGATGTTTTTAATTGAGTTGCATAGATTTGCGGGGAGGAGAGAAGGTGGACGATTGATCAACTTTGGAAAAAGCAGAGGGAGATCTGACGGTAGGCATCCCCATAAGAATGCGTCACACGCACCTTAGAGGGAAAGCAGTCTCGGTCACAGAAGATGTGGATAAATCGAGATAAGTATTCGATTTAGTGCATGGTAGGCCATTTTCACGTGAGAATCGAACCAAGCAAGTGATGATTGTTAAATTGATTAGTTTGGTGACTAGTGTTGTGTAAGGACACTCTCCTCACAGAGCCTAGCAGTGCACCACGACGGTTTTGATTGATAACAAAAGAAGTTGCTGACTGACTGACTGATGGATCGATCGATCTGAGACTTGCTAGGCTAGATATTTACTTGAAGACGTGATCGATCTCGAGATTGACTGCCTGCTTGATCGATCGGTTTCAGGATCGCTCATCGATTGAGATGATGAGTTCAACCGCCGAAGTCAAGACAGGGTAAGAGGGAGACTTTAGAAGGGTAAGAAGCAAATCGAGGCGCGGAACCTGCTAGAAGAGCCATCATGGTCTCGGAAGCACATCATCACCACTCTCTCAACTTCCAGGAGCCAAATTCACTTGCGTGAAGAGCTTTCCTCCACCAATATTCTCCTTCTCTCCTTCGGATTGGAGTGGCAGCTCATTCAAGATTCCTTCGCTTGAAAAAGCGAAGCAAGCCCGCTGCGTGTCCGTATTGTTTTCTATGTGTTTTCTGTGTATTAGTAGGGCTCGCAGAACAAGATGGGGGTTGTGGTTTTTTGTTGTAAAATTCTTCTCTGGTTGAATGGAGATCTAACCTTATTTCATCTCTATTTGCTAGATTGCAAACTGGAGTTGCAGCGCCTGCTCCACTATGTATTGGAGAGAGTTGTCACGAGTCGCACGAGAAGACATCCGCCGTGTCGATGAAAGCGAGAGAATGCAATGACAAGGAGTCGAGTTAGAAACCCCGAATCTACTCTCAGGGCAAATTGACTATCTAAATCGTGGCTTGATTCAGATAAGCTGATCATCGACCACTTGAACTGGAAGGACCGGGTTCACGAACGGAGCGCCACTTTGAGAAGGCGCACACGATAACGAACAGAATGTGAGACCCTCGGTGAGGCGGAGCAGATACGTCTCCAGGCTTTCAGGTTCGGTTTAACGAATTTCCGAATAAAAAGTCCGAATTTCTCAGAAAGGGATAAGGCGCTCCTGATCTCTCCCAGCTGGCCAGGAATCAGCGGGGCGACATCGTCGGCCCACGGATTCGACAGCTAACCCTTCCTCCCACCCTCTTCACTAGATGTTCATAGAGCGGAAGTACCATAATCTTATTCATTAATGGGGTGGAATAAACGATGTACGGAAGCATGATAACAATTTACAAGGGAAGGGAGGCCTGGGAGGATATGGAGTCACAGCGTGAGTCGATGCTCGCGTGAGGGAGCGCGCGCGTGGAGCACATTTCTGTGCTGATGCTCAACGAAGTCGCATAGCTTCTTCCCGGCCTACTGGTTTTCGAAAGAGGACTGGGTCCATCTGAAGGTTTTCGCCCACCTTTTGCTGAACCTCGAACTGATTTTCGAGAAAAAGCCTCTCGAATTGTGATGCGAAGCTGCAGACGTGTCCTGACTCTGATTGGCCCACCTTGCTTCGGCCTGGTGACTTCGATTCGCCGTTGCCCGGTTCTGACCAGAATGGAACGTTGAACGGTTAGCCGTACCTGAAAAATGCCAAGAAACCGATGAAGGGCGTACACGGATGAATACATAGATTCGTGAACTCACCGACGGAAAACGGGTTCCGAGACGGATGAGGGAAAGCCAGAAATTCTTCCTCGCCGGGATAGGGGAAAGGGAGAGAGATTCCCTCTTACGGAAATGATAGGGTCCTTACCTCTGGGGAAGGCTGGCTGCGGCTGCCTGTTTTGTAGAGGATCCTGTGGGGATGACGCCAGGCAGGAGATCGGTTTTCCACCTAGGGACGCCAGAGGTCCCACGCTGCAACGATATGCCGAAATTAGCAACGGAAACATGAATGTTCGAGCAATAAACGGCTTCCTTGTCTACCGTACGGAGATGTGGCTTGGGGAATCATCATTGTCGATTATCATTGGTTAAGAGCGACGACTTAGGACAAAATGTGTGGTCAACCTCAAAAACACACTCCTGTGTCGGAAGTTCAACACAAAGCCATTCTCATGATAAATGTATCATTCATCAGCATGAGGAATACTAATGGATGAGTGGGGAACTTCAAGAAACTCAGTCAGACTACGAAGATCTATCGTGGAGATAAGTGTTAAGAATCGTAGGTGAGGGAACTGTGATTGTAGATCTCAGTGATTCTTCGAAAAATCGGACTAGGAGCCCGGATGGAGGATTATCGGATGTTCTTCGAGAAGAGTTCCCTTTGAATGTTCCAGTGGAACTCTTCTCCGAAGAAGCATCCGGAGCTTGTGGTGAAAATCTACTGCGAACGAGATCCGCCGAGAAACTATGCCAACCCCGGGCTACTCGATGTTCCTCGGCGTTCATCCTCGCCTGAGGTTTCTGCAGATTGCGCGGATGCACACTCCAGCACTGTCGTGGTCACTTCGCCAAGGATTCCGTTCTCGCAATCCCCGACGGAGAGACCAACAACCTGATGATTCTCTGCCTTCTTGTTTATCGTTCACATGGAGGGGTGGCTCTCCCTCTCGATCTCGTCTGTGTATGTGTTTACCTTGCGGGCGGGGTAACCGGCGTGACCGTATTAACGCAGACGGAGGCGCATTTGGTGTGACCTCTATTCAACGTCCCCCCCTGGCTGGCAGGAGCCTGGATGGCCTGAAGAAAGCCATGTCCAGTCGATCCTGGCGAATCGTCCTGATCTCCTCTTGTGTCAGCTGCGTCAGCTCCCTCAGTTGCGCCGTTATCCGAGCTGCTTGCAATCATCGCACAAACAAACCCAATTGGCTTGCGTCGTTTTCTTTGATTCTTGAGCTCCTCGGTCGGGAAGCGCATGCGGAGATAATTTTCGAACTGGAGCCGATCTGCGCACATCGAGCCAAAAACTCAAATTGTGGCCAGCACCTCGATCATCATCAGCCATTCGATCGATCCAGTCGAAAATTAGGAATGCGGCAAATTTCGAATTCCAGGGAATTTCGTCCCTCCATTACATGTATTTGTCCTAGGTTTAGCAAAATGCAGCAGTCACATTCCCGAGAAAGTATGCTTCATTCAGGGCATCGGAAAAGAGACGGGGTCAGGGAAACAGAAGGAAACGAGGGTGGTGAGTGTCTCGAATAGGCTTCTCGAGTACCGAGACTCACCCAGCAGGCGGCGAGCTATCAACGGAGCTCGTCCGCTTCGTCCGCGAGTCGGATGAGTCGCGTCGGTGACCATCCGCCTCACTGCCGAAACCAAAGTCAACGACAGCGCTCGCTCTGTAATCCACTGCTCGGTGAGTCTCAACCTACGAGCCGATATCGTAAGTAGAATTTGTGTTCCGACCCTCATGGGTCTGGATGAGGTTCTGAATCTGCGCTATTTCTACATCCGAGGGCTGAATCTGCGACCCGATCTAGCTCCAAGACTTCAACTCTGGGGGAACTCCCGCGTCGATTTCTCATGATTTCTTGATCCTCGACCGCTGGTGTTTCGGGCTTTCACTCCGAGGTGAGATTATTATAGAGATCAGCTTGAATTCGTCCCAGTTCACAAAGAACGTATCCGTTCAATTCACGGAGCTATTTAAGGGATTCGAGAGCTCCGCGTGAGATCCGGCTAGTTCTAGAACAGCCGGAATTGTAATTCGAACCGGACATGAAGCTATCCAATGACGCAACAGCGCGCCAAAGATAGCCGGTACCCTCCTCCTCCTACCCTCTGATCCGCTGTTTCTAGCATACGAAGCAGCAATGAAATTTATATTCTAAATGCGTCTCCAGTAGTACAATATGGAAGAGGGAGGAACCCCCTTCCCAGTCCGACTACCGCGGAGAAACGACGTGGGCTTCTCCCAGGAATCGAATTTTTTTTTCCGACATGGTCTCTTATAATCGAGAAGTGCCCATCTCGACGAGGAAAAACAGCGAAAAATGAACTCCAGCCTTCCTGACAGCGAAAGTAAACGGAAACTGACTGAATTCCCCTAGTTTAGGCACTCCGGGTACAGTCTCCTACACAGATTCGCGAAAAAGCACTAATGCAACTGAGAATTCGCTGGGATATCAAGAGCTCGCTAACGGAAAAAGCAGCACAGGGATGTGGGAAGGAAATTTCATTACGATGCTCGACTTCCGTAGACTGGCTTCTGATGATCACACCCGGCGTCAACGAAGGTGGCCCGAAGAAGCCAGCGACAGCTCATTCGATCATTTGAGGTCATCAAAACATTCTCGGTTTCTTTCCCAAACGGAACAAAATCAGACAGAGCTCGGGGAAGCAAAGGGTTCGGAAGGAGAATATTGAAAAAAAAAAATCTCTCGGAGAAACGCCTTCAGCTCTCCGGATATTCGCATTCCGAAAACGTGGAAGGAAAGCTGACGAGTAACAGGATAAGAGGTCGCATGGGCCAGACGTTGCTTCGAGCTCAAATCCCGTTCTCGCGGAACATTCTCCTCTTGCGGAACCCACCTGTTTGACACGGACAATGGTGTTCGCGAGTTCTGTTGTCCGTTATGCGTTTGTTGGCTCAGGGTATTGGCGTTGGCTGGGCTAGCCGTATGTCCTATCTGGCCTTGGTTTGAGTCTCTTGAGGCTCCAGAACCACCCAACGAGACACGCTCACTCCTATCAGATGATGCCGCGGCCGATTTCACGCGCATTGAGCCTACGACACCTGGTCGCGATGGGCTGCGAACGGAACAACAATGCTTAATCGAGGCAGGTATATGTACTGTCGGAGCAGACGATTCCCGCGACAGGTCCGAGCTCGAAACCATCGCGTTTCCCTGCAGGGAACTCGCCAGGAATCGGTGGGAGAACACTCCCACGACGACGGCAGTCCCTTTCAAAATGCTCGAGTCGCACGATGGGGAGCTAGGGAGAGGTCGAATCTACGGTGAGGTATGACATTTCCAGGCCACCCACCTGGAAGTTTTCTTTGATCCGTTTTGGACACCTTCCGTTGTACTATTCTGCCCGGATTGCTGTCCAGGACTTCCGCTGAGTCGACGGGTGGCACCGCCCTTATTGGTCGCCGCAGAGACCGAACGTTGAACGTTGCCGCCTGAATGTGAACTGTTGCTCGAACTCTGGATGTCCCGAATCGGCAGCTGGAGTCCCTGAGCTTGCTGTCTCAAGCTAAGAGAACTGCCGGACCGACTCGCGTTCGCTGAGTCCCCGCCCTCGGAGACTCCCCCAAGCAACAGGTAATTGGCCATCACATCGTCGTATTTTCGAGCCTTCAATGATTCTTCAACGTCTTGACGGTTATAGCCTATCTGGACCAAAGCATCAATTCGTCGCTGGTCATTCAACTCTATCGGAGGTTCTTGATACGGCCGCAATTCATCATCCTCGAAGCTGCAATTCGGAGTGAAAAGGTTATTGTCGTTCGAGGCGACCCGGGAACGCCCGCTGATCGTTGTCTCGATCTGGCGGGAGCGCGCGGAGATATCTTCTCTCTCGATTTTCTTTCCGGTCGTACTTACCCAAGGTTCATCCATTTCTCGCGCATGATTGTTTCGAGAGTCGCTCTTTTCTGAGGATTTAACACCAGGAACTTCTTCAATAAGGATTCGCAGTCTGTCGACATGTAGAACGGAATGCGATACTTCCCCCGGAGCACTCGTTCGCGAAGTTCCTTCAAGTTCGCTCCGTCGAAGGGCAGACTGCCCGACACGAGTGTGTAGAGAATAACCCCCAGAGACCACACGTCGACCTCGGGCCCGTCGTATTTTTTGCCCTGCAAAGATGCCACCACGACCGGTGAATAATTTGGGTCCGGGGAGCCGTTCGCGAGAATTTGAGTCATTTTCCCGGATTTGATAACGGTTCTTTCTCCGATCAACCCACCTGGAAAAGCTCTGGTGCTGCATACGGAGGACTGCCACAAAACGTGTCCAGCTTCTGCCCTGGAACGAACTCGTTGCTAAAGCCAAAGTCGGCGATTTTGATGTTCATTTCAGCATCCAACAGAAGATTTTCGGCTTTTAAATCACGGTGTATGATTTTCTTCTGATGACAGTACTGAACTGCCGACACGATTTGGCGGAATTTGGCGCGCGCCTCCTTTTCCTTCATCCGGCCATGGGCGACGAGATAATCGAAAACTTCTCCACCTGCCGCGTACTCCATTACGAGGTACAGAGTTTTCTCTGTCTCAATCACCTGAAATCGTCCGGAGAAAACTACATTATTCCTTCGTTCCTCTTCGCCGGATGCCTTCGAGAAGGACGCCCCGCTCGCGGTTTGGACCGCCGGATCCTCACACGGGAAACCTCCGCAGGAACGGCGAACCTGGTTGAGATAGCGATTGAAAGGTCATCGCTGCCGCCAGACTCCCCATAGTTGGTCTCTAGATCGTACACCCAAAACGCCGCATAGTTTGTGAATGGTCACGACATCGCCTAATGAAGCGTAAGAACTACGTACATGCAGAGTTCCCTTTCCTTGTTCGACGGCATGAATTCATTCGAACCCAGTCTGGGCAGACGAAACAGTGTCAACAGCTCTGTGGGCCTTCAGGAACTCGAAGTATCCCGCTAGGTTTCTGACAAGGCCGTTTCTGGTTACCCTTTGCAGAACTCACATTCGCCACGAAAAAACACCTCGCTTTGGGAAAGGCACCGTGTCGCTTATGTGATTCTGTAGGTATCTGAAGATGTGAGAGTGCCTGGGATTGCAATGGCTTGGGAGGGAGCACGGTGACGTTCTGCCAACCGTTGTTCGTTGGCCGCTTTCGGCTGCACGAACGGATATTCTCCATGGGAAAGCCTATCCATCGATGGCACTTGCGTCATTAGAATAATCTAGACCGCGATCGATTGATATCTAGCTACTTGTAAGCCATGACACAAAAGGGAGGAGAGATCATCACGATTACATGAGAAACTATCCCGGGGGATACCGCAGTGGCTCCTCACTTCCCCTCGTGCCGCGGCTCCGCGAAACCGCCGAGGCCACGAAGAAATTCCGCGAAGGCTGTCGTAATGAGCGAGAGCGTCCAGCTCACCGAATGGTCACGGCATCGGATTTTTGAATCGTTCAGGGACATCAGTTTTCGGGAGACTTTATGCGCGTCCATCACTGGAGTACCACGTTCGACATACGGCTTTATAAAGTCGGCGAATTCACGGTAATTACAGACAATTAGATACAGTGGTGAGATCTTGAGAGCGATCGGTGAACTGGTTGCGACGACGCTCGGGAGGATTCTCCCTTGATGGGAATCCCCAGAGCTATCCTCAGCATTACTGAATTTTATCAATACTGTAACTAATAAAATCAGCAGTGTCATGCCCGTCGGAGGGGGCGCAGCGCTTGAGCCTGCCAGGGTGCTCATGAAGAATTTTAGCGAAAACAGGGAACGGCAAATCAAAAACTTTTGCGGCCTTCCATGACAATCTGTGGTGTAACATATGGGGAACCTAGCAAATGATCACGGGAAACATATTACTCCCGTATTTATCGCTAAAACTTTCTCTTATCACGGTCCTATGCGAATTCTTATGGCCTTAATCCCCCAAGTGGTACATGCTGGATCGTTTTCTGTAACGTCTCGCAAAAGGATTCCGGAACCGAGTACTTGCCTGATAAAGTTTAACGATGTTCGGGTGAGAAAGCATCTTCATGATTCTGACTTCACGGAAGAGCTTTTGCAGCGAAGAGTGATTCAATTGAGTTTTGTCAATGATCTTGATGGCCACTTCACGGTTAGTTGGCTGATGACGTGCTAGTTTCACCTGCAAGCGGACAAAAGAGATCGTCAAGTTTTGCTCGTTGTCATTGGCGCTGGGGACTCGAATCATGGTATGATATTTCCGTATTTCGCGCTAGATTCCCTCCCGGACTCTGTATCGCATACATTCAGAGATAAAGACTGACTGGTTCTGCAAGAGGTTGGGTGATAAACTCGGAATTTTTGGTCAGAAGGATGCCCCCGTCACGCCAGGGTCCTGAATCGATGGGTGCTCTCGATCTGGGAGCCCCTTCTCGTGGATCCTCTGTATCGTAAGGGAATTGCCGTCATTGTTTCAGTTTATCCACCGAGACCTTGATAGAGGCCTCCACCCTCCGAATTCGCGGTATCGGCTCTTGATAAGAATCGACGCTGCAGATCTCGAAACTCGAATGACTTTCGAAACGCGGAAATTTTTGACGTTGAAAGCCTCGGCGGACTGGGAACATATATCCATGCAGTTAATCGGAATCGTTAGCGCGTGACGACGCGACTCACGACGGTCCTTTCTCCCGAATCCCCTTTAACTCGATTTCTTGCAAGGTTCTAGCTGTCGATTGTACTCGGGCTTCCCCGATAATATCCCCCTCGCGGGGAAGAGCCTCGAGGATTCTCGAGTCGACCGCGGCTTTGTCGGACCGGATCAATCACCCGTTCTAACCCTCTCCTCGGACAGGAGAGTTAGGGCTCAAGAGGATTCTTCCACACTTCTATTCCTTTCGCGACTTCCAATCTTATGAGACACGAGGGCCGTCGAGTAAGCTCGCGCCTGCTCGCTGCTTAGACTGTCGTCCTGTGTGAGCCGTGGCGGCTGAGTTCGTCAGATTTGCTAGAATCGCCACGGATCCAAAGAAGAAGACTGCTTGAGGATAGCCTCCCGATGGAAACATAAACATTGTCGGGGGATAATCACGCGACTATACGGGACAGAGACGACATAATCTTTGAATGAGTTCCCACGACAGAACCGAATAACTTCCGACGAGTAGACGATCGATCAGGCTCGTCGAATATTATGAGCAAAACATAGTTAACCCGATTTTCATGACCGGACGCATCCCTGAATCTCTAGTCTCTCTCTGGTCTCCACGATTTCAGCTGATGCTCCTGTGTATTTTCTTTCCGCTCTCCTGAACAGATCGGACGATTATGAGCTACCAGGCGTCGAGATTCAGAACAAATGGAGGGTCCAGAGCGAAAACCGCCTTCCGAAGTGGCTCACGGTCGAATCGCTCCCGTTGCCATGGCGACAGCGATACCGGTAGTTGTCCACGGATTGGGATGATGCGATATTTATGCTTATGAGGATGAATAGCTGAATGAATAGGCACGATGAATTTTTGTGATGAAGCTGCACTAAAAAAGTCGAGAACGCCGCCCGGTCGCTGTTTCCACCACGACAAGTGGGATCATACGAGGAAACAGTCGAGTGGCTTTGATGAATCATACGGAGGATGGAACGCTGGAGCTGTCCCGACAAGGAGAATTCGACGAGTCGTATTCTCACGTTTTCGCTGGACGATCGGATATACTACGCATGTATCAACGATGCTAGACTTCCGTAAATTCAGTCCACCAGGTCTCGATTGTATTTTTTTCAAGCGGAGCTTGTCGTTCAGTTGGCATTTCTTACAGCGACGACGCCCGAAAAACCGCATGCCAAGCTCCCGGAAGTGAACTCGCAGACGGAGCTTGAGTTCGATGATGAGCAGATCCCGCACGCCCGAGAATGCTCGGATCATGAGGCTGCGGCCGAAGATCTGGCGGATTTTCGCACAGATCGTCATTCGGGTCCGATGGGTCGATGAGCATCACACCTGTCTCCCCGCTCCCTCGTCGGTCGGCGATAGCTTCGTGCAAGACTGGTCGCGTCTGGTAGTATGTCTCGCATTCGCTTTTCTTGGAAAGTCGCGGAGGGGAGACGTGATTCTAGGAATTGAGTGACAAGTCCTGCATCGAAACACCCGTCGACTTGGCTACGATGAAGTAAGCAATCAGCGCGAGTCCGAGGGGAAAAGCGGCGGTGTACTATACGTCAACTGATATTCAGTCGGTTTCGCAGATCTTCGGTCGACACGTGGGTAGAGCACCAGCGGTTCGTGGCAAAAATTATCATCACGCTTGCACGTTCACCAAAAACAGTCGACGTTGACCAGTGCGGGCCACGCATTTCGTTCAGCCGAACGCTGACTCCTCAAGTGCGGGGACCGTATGGCAAGGTTGCGGAACAACTTCGAGCGACTTGATTCCCAGCCACTCTTGCGAGAAAAAAACGTGAGAGCTCTCCGAGATGTTCATTGAGACGGCCTGTAGATCATCCAACCAAGATCGGTCCATTCAGTTCCCTAGCGAGAGAGCTGAGAGTTTGGGCGCTCGAGTCCCCTCAACTCTTTGTCGGCGTCGAGATAGTTATTCGAACGGAATACGCACATCTCCGTCTCGACACTACATTCGAGCCAAACATCGATCGAATGTCATGATCTAATATCCAAAAGCCCATCTCTTTGATTTCGAGCTTTTTGCCGGATGGGAGCGAGACTTCCAAAATTATTGAACGCTCCCCCCATCCCAACGGCACCTACATGAAACGAGAGAGACTTGAGGTCCCCGGTCACGGTCCCCTGCGAGAGGAAGCTTGTGGAGAAATTCATTCTTCGCAATGAAATATGCATCAGGATTGTGAGGACGCCGCAACGAGCCGGATACTGCTCTAATAATAGCCTGAAGTGGCACACTATTTGCATCGTACATGAACCGCGGTCTCTTTCCGTGAGCTTAAAGCATCTCCTCTTCCCGTCCGCCAGCCGCTGAAATCATCTACCGACTAGCCTCGGGTCAGTGACAGAGGGTCCCGGTGAATTTCTCCGCCAATATCGCTGTCTCGATGCATGACGAGATAACACGTGTTCCACAATGTCGCCAATCGAGAAGCTGATTTCAATAAATCGCGAAGATACCGAGAACGACAGGGCTGATTTTCGGAGTCGATGCAGAATCATGCACGTACGAAGCAAAAGTCCCATCGGACCGACTAAGCCGCCCAGACGTCTCAGTCGGAACAGGAGAGCCCCAAACGAAAACCCTCGCACTCCTAGAGCCCACCGCGATGTCACCAGAAAAACCCACATAAGAACTCCCACGAGCGTTCAAGAGGAGCAAGAATAGAAGTGCTTCCGCAATGACGGCGAAAACGGTTCCCAGGCCAACGAGTCACTCACAAGAAGCTTTGTGTCACGATCCATGCCGCGACGTTTTGACGACGAGCACTGCGGTCACGCTCCTAACGACAGAGCCGGCGTGGACGGAGCAGCGCGCCCCGATCTTTGGCAGTGCCCAGCCAGCAGGAATTTCCCTCATTGAATCGTTTCGACGCGACTGGAAAAATATCTCTTTCTCTCGTCGGACAGTGTAGACGCCGACGTCGACCCGGACCACGGAGGGTTCGCAAAATAATTCAAGCTAGGCGCGACAAGGTTCACGGACTTCCTCAAAACAGAGTTTGATCGAACGCCTCTGTCATCTACCCCAGTCCATGAGTTTGTTCCCATGAGAGAGGTGAGGAGAAGGAGGAAAAAACTCATCTCAAGATAATTGGAATCGAACACAAATCACCCCTCATTGATCTTTCCACAGGTGTAAATTGGGACAGAGCTCCTTTTTGGAAGGGCTTGATTGCGTGAGACGAGAATCAATTCTGGAATACTTCAAAATAATTTTTTCGGGCCGGACCACACAGCCAGGGTTCTACCTCCCCTACCTCCCGGGTACTGTTCCGGAATAGATCGCCAAGAAATAATCAGAGCCCGGGAAGAAAAAGATCTGGGTTTGAATAGATCGTTTACCGTCGGCAGATAGATGATGAAAGTGCTGCCCTATCAAAGTGAGCGTAGCAAGTGTTCGATTGCATGGTAATGCTCCTCGCAATCGCAGCAGCTATCGGCATCGACATGAACATCAAATATCATTGTCATCTTCTTCGGTATCGACGGATAGAGCCGTCCGGTGGAGCGATACGGAATTGGCGATCTACCGGATGATTCGAGTTGGACGTCTTTAGATCATCAGGCAACTCTCAGCGCATCTTCAAGCCATATTTCGGTTCATTTGAATAGCATCCGACTGTCCTGAATCGATTCATACGGACTGAATACTCTTCCCTGCAGTCGAAGCAAGAGACTTGATGGTTGGGTAGAACATACTTACTCCGGGGCGCTCGACACGAACAAATGTGCTCGACGGAGAGAAAAACACAGCGTGCCCATCGACCTTCTCCCGCTTTTCCTCCCGCGCCTGAGGCGGAAAAAATCACCGAGGAAATGCAGACGGACATTCACAAGACGACCTTGCCCGAGCCGACTGACTGAGAGAATCTGAGATATGGTGATGAATATCGAGGGTTTTGTGTCAACGAAGAACTTCCCGCGAGCTTCCGAGCACGAGAACGGCTAGGAGCTAATCCGTCGGCTTCAACTCCTTCGTCGAGCCTTATCACGAGCATTTGTGGAACGGAGCGCTGGACTGCTCTGGAGACGAAGAGGAGCATCCCCGAGGGAAACGGGATTCCCCGCTCTGGAGCGGCGATTCCTCGAGAGGCTTGCTTTAGTCCATATGTAGTCGTAAACCTTGGGGGCATCGTGTTGTTCCGAGGAAAAATTGTGGACGTTCCCACACCTATCACTGATCAGGTGCGCCGCTACTTTCCTGTTGCTCGAGAAATCCCATTCTATTCCGGAGCTTCCCCGTTGTCAATCGCGGGCAAACGAGGAACGCTAAATCAAGGGACGGTGATGATCATCGATTCTCGCAACGACTGGATTTCTAATTCCGGCTCTAGGGGTAGACGGTCGCGGATCGACCAGCGAGAGAGGAAATCCTCTAAAGCCTCTCGAAAGCTCTCGCCATTGGCTCAACTCTGTCACCGATGTGGCTCCCATCGCAATCGAACGATTTAGATGGAGCTGGCCGAGTCCGCGCGGCGGCCTATCCCCCGATCTTCGTCTGGACGAGGATGTGCGAAGAAACTATCGAAAGCTAGCCATAACGGCTAGTCAGGTAGCGAAGCGAAGCCGAGTGGCCAGCTCGCCTCCAGCCCGCAGTGGCGAGATCGATTTATCCACCTGTTTCGTGTCTTTTGCCGATCGCGCTTCTTCCCTTCTTCTGATCAGCACAAAGAAAAATACCGCCTGCCAGACTTCGGCTGTCAAACACTCCCGCTTGCACCGAGCTAACAAGTGAGCGGCCGCATCGCTTCCATGTACTTCAAGCAGCGTGGTCGTCGTTTGATCATCATAATATAAAACCGTATGGACGCCCATCGCCCGCCAGCTGATCGTGGAGAAGAAAAAATATAAGCTAGAGAAAACAAGGCACAACGAGAACTGAACCCGATCCACGAACGAGCATATATTTTTTCCGCGATGCGAGAAATTCGGGACCGATTCATTGAGGATGCTCCGAGAATTGTTGGGGCATCGGAGTGCTCTGTCGGCGGTTTTCCCGGAGTTTTTCGGGTCCTTGTGCATCGTGTTGTGCCTACCGCATTCGGAATTATTCCCCGTTGCATCGTCTCTCTTATTTTATGCCGAGTCCTCGTCGTCTTGGAGGTCTGAAAATGGCGGGGCGGCGCCGGAGTCGCCTCCCTCTATCGATCGATGCTCAGAAATCAGGCTCGTAGACTACTTCTCCGATTATATTTTCTCCTTGAAGAAGCGACTGACTGACTGATTGACTGTCCTCTTCTCCGCTCCCGCTCTAATCTAGGACTGATGAGAATTCAGCTCGCTGCGATAAGCGTCGAAACATGGAGCAGCGTTTTCACGGATGCGTTTCCGCCGCTCAGAATGTGACAGATGGTGTCAGGCGTCGCGGCGAGTGCGATAGGGCGTGGCGTCTCCGATTCCCCGAATATTCCGCTTTCTTCAACTTTGATCAAGGTATATAAATAAATACGCATTCAGTCCGCCGACTTCCGCCCGGACGGAAAGCGTCTTCGAGCGCTCGACCTCTGTCGTTTCAGCAGGGACGCAGCGAGCGTCCCTACGTGTCGGGGGCTCTAACCCCCAAAAGCTCAAAATCATAAAAGAAAAAAAAGTATAGCTACTGACGATTACTCGAATATATCTGCATGTAGAGGGGCTCAGACCGCTGCCCGTAGATTGAGCCTTGGCTGGCGATTTCGATTGAGGGTGGGAATCGGGTATGAACGATTATAGCGAACGGAGGAGTAAGAGAGGATTTTCTGACTCACCTTAGCGAAGTTCCCTTTTCCAATAGTTTTCAACAAGCGATATCTCCCAACAATTGGTTCGTCGGATCGTTGTGGTCTGCTTGAGCTTGTTCCTCTACTCGTCGAGCCTCCTCCGCTCGTGATGCTCCCTCCTCCACTGCCACCACCAGCCCCTCCGCTACTTGCACCAACTGTACCAGCTCCGGACGCGCCGGTGGCAGATGACGAAGACTCTCGTACCCCACTGGAAACTGGAGGAGCTTCGGTTTCGGGCACTGTCTGAAGGGGAGGTGGGGCAGGTCGCACCACGCTAGCAGGTCCTGCACTCATCTTGTCTGGTTTGAGATGTCGTCAACCGTTATCAGCGTGGGGGGGGGGTAAACGAGATGATGGTCGTCGTGTCGATCTTCGATGTAGTCGGTAGGCTATAAGCTCATTCCTCTTCACGGGATCTCACTCAAACGTTGATATATTCTCTTAACGTGATCGTCCTATTGAGGCTTTCTCGTTTGTTTTATACAGTAAATGCGCGTGAATTCTCTCGTTTCCGGAGAGAGACCGAGTTAAAGCTTTCGAGGCCAGCCGCGTTAAAGCAAGGGACGCGTGGTCCAAAGGGGTTCTCCTGACTCGCGCGAAGCCTATGTACACTGAGAGAAGACTAAAATTGTCAGGATTCCCTCCTGGAAGGTTGTGTCCAGCCGCTCACGGCCCCACCGATGCCGTGTAGGCTGCAGGGCTCATGAACCGGCTTCTGGCCTGCATCGCTCTGAAAAGAGATGAGAAGAAAATGAATTAGTCCATCGATCATCATCGAGATTATTCGCGGTTTCGATCGTCGGTTGTGACTTATCAAGAAATGAACTAGGTACGGAATGTCACGAACTGGTCAAGCTTCTAAACAGGTTCTGATAGCGGTAGCTTCGTTCCCGACGCAGCACACATGCCAAGGCTCGAGACCGAGTATCTTGACTCATCGAGGAAGAAATCAGACGAGGGGGGGGGCATGCACAAGCCGGGATTGACAATATGCCAGTTTTTCGTACACCGGTCCGAGGCAACGTCTCTGACTGCATCGTTGCGGATGTGCTGGTTGAAGCCCAAAACGTTTGACACGATATGGCACTTCTGTGGGGTCTGAGCTTCCCCCACCCAGAACAGAAACCTTGCAGACCCACCGTCCCATCGGGAATGGTCGTCGTCAGAATTTTCCGTCGGGAATGGATCATCTTACGCCGCAGTAGAATTGATTCCGACATTTGGGTCTGCTAGCCCGGGAGAACGCTACGGATGTCCGGGGAGAATCTGGAAGTTTCGCAATCTCACGGAATCGCGCTCCGGGGCGAGACTCCATGAGTCGATCCCTCGAGCCCACAGGTTTCGTGAGATGGAGCGGATGGAGACTCCCTTATCTTATCCTCTTGCCTTCGGCCATTATATCGGAGCTCGAAATCGATATCACAATCTCAATGCGAAGGATTTATCCCTCCGACCCTCATTCAAAATTCAATTCCATGCATTTCGTTCAAAATCCAGGCGATTCTTTGCGTAAAAACAATCGATTCTGCCGCAGCCTTCATTGCGGGCTTCTTGATGACTACTGAGCTACCTTTGACTGAACTATGAAGCGAGTCTCTGGGACCTCGAACCTTCGCTTCTCAAGGTTGTTGGTGAGCGATGGAAAACCGCGGAGGTTCCCAAGAAATTTATACGACTTCCGTTTTGCTCGACTTCCGATGATACCTTCCTTTATCGGCTCGAAACCAGAGTTCCTTATCGCTTCGCTGCTCGTCTCCATATAAGATTTTCCCGCCGTTATTCTCGAGCACTCCGATCCGCTCCGACCCCATGTTTCGAGGCTGAGCTTGCTCTCGAGAGAAAACTCGAGCATTGAGAACATCCTTCCGCAATCCGCGACTCGAGTCGGCCGGATCGAGTCTCGGGAACGGAAGACGCCAGTGAAGACCGAGGGAAAGCTCCTATTGACAAATCCAACAGGATTTTTTTTCCTCCGAATGAAATGGAGGAACAAAGCCGCTCTTCGGGATCTAGAGCAATTAATGCTCACGAATGGAACCGGCGAGCGGTTCCTCGTATTGAATGGGCCGATGGTGAGGTCAACTTCAACGAGGTTTTTCCCCTGCTTCTCCCGCCAAGAACCTCTCTCATCGTCGCCGCCGCCTCAGCCTCTACGGTCTTCCTAGAGCGCTGTGCGCTATGATCTGCCGAGTTTCACGAGGAGCTCTATTCATGGTTTGCGAAGATGAACGAATTAATTTTTTCCTGCTCCGATCCTCATGCCGAGCCCGGGTGGATCCATCCCGGCAGCCAATGTCCGCGGAGAGCTGAGCCATGATGCAAAGCCCGACGATTTAGAACTAGAACAGCTCCCAGCTGAACAGCTAGCTTGTCGCTGGTAACCGGCAGCTCGTGCTCTGCCTCGACCGACGACGATATTCGGGAATACACTCGAGAACACACTGACCGGCCGGCCAGCCGGCCGACCGAATGACTGACCACTGCTGCCGCCGCCGTCTTTCGGACGACAAGCGCATAGCACTCGCGAATACTTCACGACGAGGAGAGGATGTCATCACCCCTGATATCCGACTGGAGAACTGGAGCTCGAGTCGATCCGTCCCTCCGTTATTCTCCAGATTTCTTGAGTTTCGGGTCAAGAATTGCCGGGTCAGCAGCTCGGAAGGTCAGCATGGCGAGAGTTCTTCAATGATTCGCCGAGCTATTCGCGGGAACTACAAGCGTCGTCGTCATAAGGAGTCAATGCTAATTAGAATGACAACGAGCGAGCGGGCGGGCGAGTGCTAGTTACACGCCAGGAACGAGCGAGCCGCAGACGTTACGAGAACGGAAGACGAGCTACGACAGGCGAACACAGCAGCCGAACACTACGAAACCGCTGAAAAATTCCAACGAGACGATGACACATCGGAATTGCTCACTGACTAGTCGCCTGGCTGGCTAGAAGGGCAGCTAGCGTTAAGGAGCAGCAGCAGCATCACTTCAGGTGGTTCCACCGCACACTATCACCGCGATGATCAAGATTCGCCGGCCGGCGATATATCACTGCTCGATTATGAGCAGCAGCAGCAGCTTGATGATGATCATCTCTCTCGCTTTTCATAACTGGTTCGCATGGTTATTATGCAAAAGCTGCTGCTGCCGGCGCCGCCGCGGCCGCCGCAACCACCACCACCATTCAATGCTCAACTCATTCCGATGGTAGGTCTCTCTCTTATCTGCCTTTATCTGGTTTTCTCTTCCGTCAAACTCGGGATCCCTTTTTCACGGCCCTACCGACAGACCGGACTCACGGACGCACTCACACACACACTGTAGTAGGTAGATGGCGGTGAGGTAGAGATTACCGACAACAACAACGATACTTCCGTCAACGGCTACAGCGGCAGCAGTCGAGGCAAGTACCGATGACGAGGACGTCGTCAACGTCGGCGAGCCTCTCGTCCATCTGGTGGTGGACTGCCGTTTGGTCGCTCGGACCGGACGTTATGTGCAACTCGAGGCCGGAGCTCGTGGCACGCAGCGCCGGAAAATCGCTGGGCGTCAGCCCGATGACAGCAGCAGTCGACTTCTGCTCCTGCAGTACGTCAACGAAAGATCTCAGAGCCAGGGACCAGGGCGACTAACGCCGGCAAATGGCTAGATTATCCGAATGTGTTAATCCGAAGTTCGAGACACACCAGTCCGCTTTTCAGACATCTGTATCGACACACACTCACACGCGACAGACACACACACACTCACTCAGAATGAACTATTCAACCGGCCATGGCCCACTCCTCAAAGGGCTCGAGGTCACTGGCCCGTTGCACATTGAGGTCTAACGTTGGATTCGGCGGAATTCGACGACTTTGAGAAGAGGACCCCGATAGAGACGATGACTCGAAGCCTAGGAAAAATAAACTGTCCCAGTAAACAGGTGAGAGACTAACCTTCGAGGCCAGGGACGGCCCCGCGGCAAGATCTTCTTCAAGCCGTCCGGGAAGCGTTCGCTAACACTGTGACGGTCACGATTTCTCCGAATGTCACGCTTGTCCACTCGGTGGATCGGAGAGCCAGCTTGTTCGTACCAGACTCTCAACTTCACCCGCCTAAGATCAGCATACCACTGCACCCTAACCAACCAAACTCGATACTTGTGTGCGAAAGAAAACAAAATGGCCGCTGTCGTCGTCGATGATGATCTCTGCCTAGGCGTCGCTACTGTAGAGGCGGTCTGCTCATCACGCGTGCCATCGTCATCGATGAATGCCATATCGAGGGACCATCTGCTGTTGAACAGCTGCTCTGACGGCTCGCGTCTTAGTGCTGGATGTCGACTTCCATTCGGAGGCAGCTTTCGGGGTCCCGCTCTTCGCGGGTTCCGCCTCTCGTGCTGCAGTTCTGAGCGGCCGAAGTAGTACACCTCCGATTCGTGGAGAGCCGTCCACAGATCGACTTGACGATCCTTTCAAAGCGATCAGCAGATCGTCTCGATTGTCCTATCATTCTGCCTACGAATTCGAACCCTCCCCGGACCGCGCTGACTGTGTGGAGGTCGGGAGGATTCCTCTGTCGGATTTCCCCCTTCCAGGCAGCCCCATAATGCCGCTTCCCGTAGTCCTGACTAAATTATCAGCAGCTGGGCCCATCCTGAGCGATATAACGTCGGCATCGATGCTGAATGACGAAGAGCACAGGTGTCCGCGCTACGATCGCGCCATGGGCCGTATCGACGACCGTGATTTGGATCGCTGTAACTTGAGTACTTCTTGCGTGATGGACTTTTAATCGGGCTGAGAAATTCTAAGAGGGTTCTCATTGGGCGTAGTCTTGCTGAGAAGATCTCCGAGCATTCCACAAATCATTCATGCAGTCGCTGCGATTGATTGCCGTGACCGGCCGAGAGAGCACGCAGATGGTCGCGAGCGCTGCGAATTAGTTTCGCACTCGTTCCCCATGTCGCGAGTGATTTTGGAACCCCGGTTCATCTGGGAGCCTCCGGGCGCCTTGTCCGAGATCGAATGCAGAGCCTGAGCTGGACCCGAGAGGTGTCGCAAACGAGAAAATCTCGACGAATCACCAGAGGAGCCGACACATCGTTGGGAAGCTTCTGGATATCTTCCCGTGGAATATCAACCAGTATCACTATCACAATATCCGTATAGTCGGTCTCGATGTCGCTTGCTCCCCGAAAAATACGAATGGTCTCCTCTACCCTCTTTCGAGACCGCCACTGACGTGGACCCTCAACCCGAATCATTTTAATTTTCCATGTTCTGGACCCGTTTGGTCGAGTTTGTTCTCGGGATCCA